GGCTAAGTTACAATTTTATTATTTGTATAGATAAATGTTGGTGTACCTATAATAAATGTGAAATCTCGTATTATAAATGTAAAACTATTTTGGGTTGTCTTTCATTGACGAAATAAATTGGCAAAAGGTTAACGTGTTAACATAAATATTATATTTAACTTTGTTTTAGTGAACCCTAAGAAATAAAAATTGTATGTAGTAAAATAAAATAGTAACTGCGAAAAATTTCACTTTCCCATAAATCAAATTTTCCATTTGAGAAAAAATTCCAGCACAATGTTAATTTATACAAAAAAAAATTGAATTTACGGTTCCAGCTTTACATATTTTTACATTATGAAAAGTTCTCACAACACAAAGTTGTTTTATAATTAGATAAATGAAAATAAATGAATACATTAATAATATAATATACATGCATTTAATTTACAATATTGACTTTTAAGTACTTGATAATATTAATGTTATACCACGGAATTACACTTACACCGATTTGCAGATCAAAGATAAAGAGCAATTAAGCGCCGCCAAATGTATTGCATGGGTTTCGTGTAGCTTTGCTGCTTAATAAATATAATCTTATATTTGCTCGCTGTCCAATGATATATAACGTTTGTTAATTAGGTTATCACACCGCGGCATCTACAAAGGGCCCAACTTAAAAGGCTCGTTGATATTAAAAATGCCGCTTATAACTTTTATCATAAATCACCCTTAGGCGTCGCGGGGTGTGCAAAAATGCCTACTTTGAACAAAAAATATGCAAGTAACGATGGACGCGATTTGAGAGCTTTTTTAAGTCGCCTTAGATGTTGTGCAGAATTAATTATCTTGGCCGATAAAAGCAAAGTAATGTCGTTCTTAAGCCAATGACGTATTTGTGGTTTTTTCAACTTCTGTTAAAGTCTTCTTAAAAAAATTTAGAAGTAACAGAATCAACTCATAACACTTAAGTAGTCAGCTAGTGATATAGATAGCAACAGAGTTTAACTAGAGCAACTCAGTAATTTTTTCTTATTAATTACTAGCATTATTGGAATTTTGGAAAATAGATTTAAAATAGAGAAAGGTAATAATGAAGAATATTATAATAATGGCACTTAACAAATGCCGTTAATTAAATCAAGTTCGAAATAGGTTTAGATAATAAGAAAGGTAATTTGAAATTTGTTAATACCTTAACTATTCTTATCACCTAAGAATAGATTTTTGGCATATAATTAATTATGTAGAATACGATAATTTTCTTTGTAACTGTATTCAATAAATTTAGTTTAGAAGATAAACATCAAGCGGGTAATGAGTGCCGTGTGATCGACGAAAGCAGTGCCTCGATTTATGATTACGGAGAGCTTCTCTGTAATAATAAAACATCGACACGCCTTTATCGACTGGCCGCTCGATAAGCATCCGTGACGAATTTGCAGTGCTCGCACCACGCACTATGCCCGTATGATGATAAACACGCCTGCCTATGTGATGCCGCTCGGGATATTCCACGACATCGCACCGTAGCACATTGCCTTAAGAATTGTAATACACGAACGATCGCGTCTGTTATTCCCTTTAAGAATTTCCCTAAAGGAAATAGCCGAGATATTGTATCGATAAAATATTATTTCCAATTATGAGCTCCGTTTTTAAGAGCTTTCTGTTTTTATTTTGAGATCATACGACGCCGTGTTGTCTATCTGTGCCTGTGATGTTATTCATGTGGCTAAATCATTACGTTGTTAACAATTACGTAAAATAATTTAATTCCCACATTAATTTGTGTTAATAATAACAAGATTTGTTGTAATTAAAATACAAATGCACGTTAGAATGAATAAAGTCACATAACCATTTTAAGAGATAACTTCGTTGTTTAATTATTATGCCAGTCACACGCTGTGGTCAAAGTATGTCAATTTTAGATACATAATCTCAAATTAAATATGTATAGTAGATATGTATGTAGGTACCACCATGTACCGGTATTTACATACCTACATAGGATGTTTTAGCTTTAACGTATAACAATTTATTACCAATAGGTACATAGGTAATATTTACACCGTTGATATATTTAAAAAATGCAACATTATTTTAAATCGATTTGCCGTAATCTAATAATTTTTTTATTATATGAGCAAATTATATATACCCATATATTATTAAAAGCTTGAAGGTTAGCAGATATGTATCAATAGATTAAATTATTTGATATCAATGTCTTAGAAAAAATCTATGGGTGGGTATATTGTGGGTATATTTTTTGCTATTTACCATCTACGAGCACGAGTATAATGGCGTAGATAATAATTGTTACAGTTTTTTGAAATTCAATTTCTACATAAGTGAAAAGTGCCAAACAAAAAAAAACAAATAGAATAGGCTACTACTTAGTTATCGTATAGTATACAGGGTCAATTTTAATTTACTGAAAACCTTTTGGGAATATACTGTTTACATCATAACAACAACATCTGTAAGAAAAGAAAAATATTTCTTAAATTTCACAAAAATAAAAGTATTTTTATTGCTCCTTCTAAACGGTAATAGTCCAGCAGTTAGCAAAAGAAAGCGCGTGACCAGTGGAGGAGAAGGGGTGGAGGGGTGTAGGAAGTGGCCCTTACTCATTTAAACTTGGCCAGATGCTAGAACTTTACCGTTTAGAAGGTGCAATAAAAATATTTTTATTTTTGTATGAAAATAACAATTTAAGAAATATAATTTTTTCTTGAACTACAGATGTTGTTGTTATGATGTAAATAGTATATTCCCAAAAGGTTTTCAGTAAATTAAAAATGACCCTGTACCTATATAGAATTTTCATACAAATAGTTTTTCTTAATCCTATGAAATATATTTAATTACAGAATGCTTGTTATTCCTGTGTATTATATTCTTGTGTATTATATTCTTGTGTATTTGATAGAGATTGAATCGTTTGGTCGTGAAGAGGGAAGTTAATCGTGCATGCTTTGAATCTGTACTAGACAGTCTTTACTAATATTATAAAGCGGCAGAGTTTGTTTATTTGATTGTTTGTTCGTTCGTTTTTTGGTTTTGTGTTTGTTTGCTTATTTGTTTCTTTGTTCTGAATCTGATTTGAAAAATTCTTATTAAAAAAAGTAGATAGCCCGTTTATTGAAGGCTATATATCATATAATATACAGTCTCTCTATTCCTTACTAACCGTTAAAACGTAAATTCTGAAAGGCAAGTTTAATCTACTTCTGATATAACATGTAACTTGAATTATAATGTAAGTATTTCTTACCATCATCTTCTTATTATTATGGAGGAGGTGGTAAGTAGACTTTTCGACGCCTTTCAAAATTTGGTTTATTGAGGACTATTTCCTATTCATTACACAGTATACCCTTATTATGCATAATTATATCAAAATAAGTAATACGAAAATATAAAAAAAATGTACTTATTGGAGTTGTTTAGGTAATATTATAAATAAAAAGGTCTTTTTCAAAAAGAACGATATGTTAAGGTGGCTCACATCATATCTGGGTAAAATATACCCGAAAAGGCTTTTTTCTACAAAATTAATTATAACGTAAATTCTCTTGAGCTGCACTCGTAAGTGATTAAAAGAAATCTGTAATTTAATTGCATTTTACAATATTTTTTGTGCAACAATTTGACAAAACAAAACAAACAAAACTGCAGTTGCATTCTAAATTATAAGAAAACAAGAAGTAATAGGTATTTATCAATTGTATTTTATATTTTTGAAGAAATCGCACGGATAGTGTAAGTAAAGTCTTGTCTAACACAAACGAGCCAGTTTTTACTACAGTTCAAACACCTTTGTAAAAAGTTTACGATTTCTATCAGTCTTAAAAGTAGATACTTATTTCGTGACTTTATTTTCATTCTTTCTTTTATTTTTTTATACTTTTCAAATACTCTTACAAATAGACGTTTTTTTCTAACTGTAGTATTTGTGGTAACGCCCAGCCCAATTTTAATTTTTCCTTTAAGTTTAATGAATAAAATAACAAACCATTTTAATAATTTGATTTGGATTAAATATAATTTGTCTGTACGAAAAAATATTATTGCTCTATTTATCTTGTGTTAAATAGTAAAAAAATATCTAAAAAGGTAGTTTAATACAAACTTTGATCCCCTATTTTACCCCCTTATAGGATGGATTTCGAAAAATGCTTAAACATGTATTTATTTAATTTTATTGAAGAGCATTTATTAATGCTCTTCAATAAAATATTTATGATCTGAATTACTTGAAACTTGGTATTTCAAGTTTCAAGTAATTCTGATCATAAATGTTTTTTTTTGCTTTGTATCATGTATTTTCCCGTAGGATGATCTCCCGCGGTAAAAAGTAGGCTATGTTGCTCTCCAGCCCTCCACCTATCTCCACGCAAAAAATCACGCCAATCCGTCACTTCGTTTCGACATGAAAGAAAGACAAACATTCAAACAAACACACTTTCACATTTATAATATTATAATGTGGATTTGACGTTAAATAAAAACTTCGTATGTAAATGCAAGCAAACTAAGCTTTTACACTTGGTATGGTATGGTATGGCTTTTACACTTATTGCAAGTGCAGCGGTGCAGTTAATTTATATTGGCCAGACTACACGTTCAACATTGAATCGTGTATAATTTAAATCTCTTTTTCTGTATCATCGTAATTTACATATGCTAAATAAAAAGCGGTGTCATCACAAAAGATATTTGGAGGCAATATAAACATAATATCAATTTAAATTCCTTGTTAGTGGAGCGAAAGCCGACATCATACCTGAAATTGGGCTCACGTCATTGGCTGGAGGGTGGACCAATAGTATATGCGTCGAACAGCGCTGCGCTCGCCCGCTGCGCGCCGCAGCCGGCAGGCGGGCCGAGCAGTAAGCTCTCCTCGCCTCAGTTCCTTTTCAGACCTCGTATCGAAGTGACGTGACCCGCACTGTGTTCTCAACCTCTGATTTTTGACTATCTCTAGCCGGTCGTCGGTACGGGTGACGATGCCGCGACCCTCACGTGAATCTTACGGTGATCAAAAACCACCATATTCGTACATCTCTTTAACAGCGATGGCAATATGGAGCTCTCCTGAGCGTATGTTGCCCTTGTCCGAAATTTACCGGTTTATTATGGACCGGTTTCCATATTATCGGCGCAATACCCAACGATGGCAGAATTCTTTAAGACATAATCTTTCATTTAATGATTGCTTCGTGAAAGTGCCACGACGTCCGGATCGACCTGGAAAAGGTGCATACTGGACCTTGCATCCGCAAGCTTTTGACATGTTTGAAAATGGTTCCTTGCTTCGTCGACGCAAAAGATTCAAGTTGCAGAAAGGAGAAAAAGACAATTTAAATGCAGAATTAGCTGCCCTTGCAAGTTTTAACCGAGCTTTTCTTGCACGACAAGCTGGAGCACCACCACCACCACCACCCCTGCCGACCGCCAGCTTGTATACACCATCAATGTGCCAGTTAAGTCCTGAACCTGCAGAGCTTGCCGAGGCTGTAACTGTCACAATGCTTCCTAGAGAAAGACCACGTAGAGCATTTACGATAGATGCTCTATTGGAGCCAGAGCCTCCACGGGCATCGCCGTCGCCACCCAACCATATCTTAGCGATGCAGGTCGTTCAAGCGATGCCCTCATTAGATTTCTCTATGCCGTCGCCTTACGTGCTTGCAGCGCATCGTTATCAAGCTGAACTTCTGCAGGCGGCGGCGCATGCTCTCCGTCCCTGCTATCTCCCACCGCCGCCGCTACCGGTAGCGTGACATCAGCGGTCTCTGGCACACTGCTCCAACATTTCGTGCAATTCTAGGTTGTAAGTACAGTACTGATTATAAAAGACTCATCATACTCTAAAGTTCCAATCTTATAAGATATGTGGCATGTTCTAAATATTGTTTAAAAAAATGAAGTCTTATTAGTTACTGGTAAATTATTTAACAAATGGTGATAAAAGTAATTAAAGTTCTTTCTACAAAAGTTTTGTAATGCGAATATTAAAACAAACAGTCGTTAATGTTTAATGATATTACGTTACGTAGCGACGGGAGGCCTAAATGTTTTACTTAACGTGCATGAGTAAAGAACGGGTAAAAGCTCGCGCCGTGTGATTTTGTAAAGTGATGTTAATATTTAATATTTAGTGATCTCATTTGTAAATAATTATAAATAGTATTGATAAAATAAGCAATAATTTACACTATTTATTATATTCATTACATTCCATTTGCTATTACCATATAGGATATGTAAATATTCATAATTTTCTCCAAAATGTTGCATGAAAAATCAATGTCAGACTTTTCTTAAATATTGTTATTTATTTTATCTTACTGTTACTAGTGTAGATAATACTTATATTTTATTGTAAATATTGTTTTAAATGTTATAATTTTAATAGGTATATTAAAAGATAATACTAATTAGAATCTTTGTTTTATTACATAAATGTTTTTATGCAAATTATAGGTCTGCCTAAGATCAAGGTATCAATCAATCAATGACTTTTAATTATTTCAATAAATATAATAAATCGTTAAGAAAAAAAAAACTAAAAATATAATCATAATTTTATTGAAATTGCTGTATTTCTGTAAATTTATGACTATATATTTGCAATTTTTTATTGCATTGCAATAGTTTACTTATATATTGGTATCCTCCACCTAACTGGAATCATTATTAAAGTTATTTCACCCTATTAACTATAACCTTGAAAACAACTCTTATTATTTTATTTCTTTTTTCATTTCTTAAATAATACTCTTTAAATCATAATTCATTCAATACATCCGGGTGGCATCAATTGACCTAATCAAGTTACTACGCTTTTTCTTAGTCAAATTGTGGAACATAGCGGTGTGATTCTCCCTACGTGGGGGGCGGAGGATAAAGGCATATTTTAAATAATAAAAAATGGTCGCGGAGGTGGTCTGTTTCACGGTGTAACGTACTGTAACGACCGCATTTGTGCCCTAATAGATCGTGATATTGCATCCACTTGAACAATTGCTGACTCATTGATTCTGTAACTAAATATATTATAAGATTTAAAATATAGTTTTTCGATCAACTCTCCAGAGTTGTCTCTTTCTTATTATTATGTGTTAGAAATCAAATTATTAAAATAAATTATTTTTTCTATTTTATTTATATATAATTAACTTATTGTATAGGTATATTTTAATTTTTGCCGTGAATGTACACATGAATAGAAGTGGTAGAGCTTGGGACCAGGCACCATGCGGGTATAAAGTAAATGAAAATTACAATGACGTTTACGTTAGCGTTGATTTTGTTTGTAAATATATGTTAAATATACTGTGCGCATATAATAATTAACGTTTGGATGTAAACACTGTCCACTAATATGGATTTTATTGTCAACTTCGAGTAGAAAATTTTAAATTTAAGTAATATGTATAAGTGAGCTTTTTTACTATTCTCATTATTGTTCGGATAATAAAATAAGAAAAGATATATATATATATATATATATATATATATATATATATATATATATATATATATATATATACGTTTATTGGCAAAGCAGTAAGTTTTAGCTCACCTATTTAATAAGATATCGCTTACACTTACAGTATATTAAAATTCAATATTATGAGTTTTAGTAACCGTACGTCTATCTGTTTATGGATATATTCAAATGCCACTGACACTCAGGTTAAAGGAGCGTAAATATTAGCATGTTTAAAATAATATGTTGGTCGTATAAAAATATTTAGTATATGAGTATGTTGTAAAAGCATGCCTAATGGGCTTTCATCTGCTATGGTAAGATGTCTGTAGCTTAGGAGAATATATGTATGTATATAACATGATAAACAGATAATAATTTACGTTTTTTTGGGAGTTTTTTTATTAAAATTCGATTTGAAATCTTTTCATAACACACACCTAGTGGTTTAGACATATTCTAAAATCGTTGTACAATAAAAATCTAAAAAAATATATTGGAATGATATAAGTACCCATTATGATTCTATGTTATGGTCCTTACGAATGTTATAAAGAGGTAAAGTTTGTGAGTTTATGAGTTTGTGACGTTGTAGGGGATAATCTCTGGATCTACTGAACCGATTTAGATGAAATTTGGTAAGAAAATAGTATGAAATATTATATCTATAGAGTTATATATATCTATAGAGTTATATCGTTTAAGCCAGAGGCTTTCAAGAATCAATAATTGAAACTTTAAAGGCTTAAATAATAAAATGATATTGATAACTAATATTTAAAAAGGGAAAATATTGGCAAACAATATAAGTTTATTTTGAGCCTTAAAAATATAGTTTTAATACTTCATTGCTGCCGATAGATGTGCAAATGACGTGAAATTTTATGATTCGGAAATATTTGAAATATTATCATGTTAAAAAATTTCTATGCACCTCACTAGTTCTTACCTTTGTGTAAGTAGGTACCACTAGTATTTTTTCATTTTATTTTATGTAAATATGCCAAAATTTGAGTCAATTAAACTTCTTCAAAATTATAACAATTTTAAGACGTATTTGGGTATTTCTGCCAAATAATATTTGGCATATCTTTAATCATAAGAGTATGTTGAATAGAGCCAAAAATGAAATACCCATTTGTAAAAAAATAATTATTTTACATTTATATATTATAATCATATTAAATACTTACTTACTTGCAACTTGTTCTCCTACGATACTGAGTGGTTAATTTAGTATTATAAGCACACAGTAAAATAGCCTTCTATTTGACCGTAAAATTCAATAAATAAAAATAACTTTATATGTTCCTATAATTTGACCGAATAGAATATATTGGTATTAATTATTAAAAAATCTTATTATGCCTAAAAATAGGAAGCCAATATAATTTAAAGTAGCCAAATATAGTACACGCTGAATGCTGATAAAGTCATTGTGAAAACTTACTAGGTACTTCATTTTACACAAGTATGAGCTTTTTGGACAGTGGAACTTGGCATGGGATATTGTAAAAGACGGGGAAAAATATTTACCTGGTCAATAATAATAAACACTCACCCCGTATGAGAATTAAACATGTGCATGTGCTTACTAAACAATGCCAGACATTCGGCAATGTTTAATGCTAGTAATTAATATTTAAAAAAAAATTATTCAGTTCATTTGGCGTTCATTTTCATTGTACTCGAAGGTCGTGGCAGACACGAGATCTGTGGATTTTTTTTCTGTACATATTCAAAAAAATCACATAGTGCCTACCTATTTAAAAATTAAAAGTAAGTAATATTACTTACAAACATTTATATGGTTTTTATTTATAGTAAACTAGTTATCAAAGGTATTATTATTTAATCTTCAGCTATTTTAGATGTCGATCGCGTTATTATGAGCGATGCAAGCAAATTAAATATCATTATTAGGTATCTGGTGCCGGTTATTTTTCTCAGCTTGTTGAATATCACGAGCCTGGTTTATTTGACCTGTTATAAGAAGAAAGGTAGTAAAATGATTGAGGATGTGTGTAATTACTAACAGGTAATTTCATTAGGGTAAATATGGCGTAAATAAGAAAATGTGCAGGCACGGTAATGTTAGCGCTATTCCCTTAACTGGTATGTTTATTTGTTAACTGTAACTAACCCTATTCAGGTTAGAACTTAAGATATTCTTGGACAGATCATAATTTATGTTTTAAGACCAGTTTGATTACACTTTCGCATATGTGTTATCTTGTTTCTCACAGGATAAATGAGAGTACTTATGGTAGTATACTCGTATGTACATATATTTAGCTACTTCAGTTTAATATTTTACTCGGTGTTACGAGTAAAATATTAAATTGAAGTTATTGTCGCCGTGGACCAGACCAATCATACCTGCTAGAACAGCGATAACTCGTTGTAAAAGTTATTATAGTTATGAGTATATAGCTGTCGCTAAAACTAGGACAATATTTATAGCTTAGTTCGTTGTAAAAGTGCTTGTTAAATTAATACACAGCTTCATGTACCTAGACAATTGAATCATAAACATCAGTTGTTGACTTGTTACTAACTAAATATTAACAATGGGAGATAAATGTCGCGTTATTACACCATGTGCCAAAATTATGTTAGGTTTGAATGAAATAGTCAACTGTAAACTCTACATTATATTTGAATTCCTGTCTCTATGTTGTTTGCTATAGGCGTCCTCGGTTTGTTATTTATACCATACTTAATCTATCTATATAAATAAAAATTAATGTTGGTAAGCGCATAACTCAAGAATGGCTGGACCAATACGGCTAATTTTTTTTTCGTATGTTCCTTAAGGTCCACGGAAGGTTTTAATAAAGAGAAAAATTAACGAATAAATATATTAAAATTCATATGGCTAACACTGGCTAATAACTATTTATAACTATTTAAAACGTACCTAGCGACAAACCCGAGCGAAGCGAGGGTGAGCCGCAAGTTATAATATAAATAAAACATAAATAGGTGGTATACCATATTTTGATATTATGAAGCTGACAATTACTTTAAATTTATCTTGGCTCGATATCTGCTAATGGAGAGAAAGATAAATGTTTCTTTAAATATGTATACCTTAAATATACCTACCTACTCAGTATTTACTATTTCTTATAATAGTTGAATTTTTTCTTATTGTTATTTACCTAATAATAAAAAAATACAATAACCTTATGTGTACGTTTCTTAAATATTAGATGTTGTTTTTATATTTGTATTCTTCAGTTGGATAAAAAACCAAATAATAAATATTTGTAGAGGCAGATGTTTGAAAAGGATTATTATAGAACCTTAAATAATAATCGGTCTCTTAGCACTTCTGTTGATGGTTTTGCCCGAACACCTTTGTACGGATTCGAAACCTTTAATTTGGAAATTAATATCTAACACATTGTGTCCATCGGCCGTTTCTTCGCGTTTTTGACTTCATAACCTATAATTATCTCGCCGTGATAGTTTGCCTGAAAAGATGAATGTCATGTATAATTTGAAGAGATTTTCAATTTTTTTATTAGTTATCCAAAAAAAACTTCTTATACAGGTACACAATGAACTTTTAATACAGTTAAAATTAAATGTTCGACCAAATTTAACATTTCAATAACATAATAGAGGAAAATTTGTACATAATTGATAAAGTAAGTCAAAAGTACCTTTTGATTCCCATCAAGAACCTGCGTGCTGTCTAAACGTACTTCAGACAAGTCTTGGAGACATGTCGTCTAAATATCTAAAGCAAGGGCTATTCTAGAGTATTAATTCATTTTGTTGAACATTATTAAAGGCTATTTGTAAGTCTATTTCAATGTATATCGATGGGCGGTAGTCTGCATAATTTAGAAATGGTTTCATTTAATTTTCAATCTTATACGTAAACAATAAAGTTGAAATAAGCTACAGAAGAAACTGGTTCATAGCCATAACAATCGCCGGAACCACACCGCGGGATGCCGTGAAGCCGACTCGTCTATTCTGATCTAACTTGAGTGGCCCTTTCAAGACCATGTCGTTTCGATGTTGTTTGTGTTTTAAGGGTCGATTAATTTATTGAATAGGATGTATACATTAATGCATCACTTCCACAAATTAATTTTAAATGACTCTTTAGTTTTATCGTATGTATCAAACAGAATATGTTTCTAAGATTTTATTTAAAAAAATAATTAAATAGATCAGTACATACACACTCTTAGGGATGGATGTTTTTCTAAGAGGGATCACCTTTGAACCTTGGTATAAATCATAATTATCCTAATCGATTTCGTTATAGCGGCCAACCCCATCTGTATTGTATTGAGTCTCATTGTGAGAATAGCCAAGTGTGCGAGTTATATTATAGTGCATAAGTGTGCACGAGGACACAAGTGCAATCTCTTGTACTTTAACTCTCATATTCCGGTAGGACAACAACTCGACAAACCGAGACGACCGGCGAGATAGCCTGTAGGACCTAAAACTTATTGCTGTTTGATGCAGATTTCTGAATTTAGTCTTAAGCCGGGCTTTGAATCCATTTTAGGTTCCTACAGTCTATAGCCATACGTGCTAGTCGCTAAACCAATGGGGCATTCTAAGCTAGGTATAATCTATTTATAAAGAAAAAAACAAAGCAGAAAATCAGTTAGTGCCGGCGACTTGATGATGGTGAAGTCTTGACCAATTTCGGTCACGGCGGTCAATATCACTGATATTATAGGTCATAAGCGTACGCGCAGACACAACGTGTACTGATCTATTTCTGTCACTTTCGTACTCCAGCGGGACGACAATTCGCCACGACCTGCTCCTAATTTCCCAACTTCAGGCTGTTACTGAGAATTTTGTAACAGACAGACTCAATAACTAAACTTGGCGCGACCCGGGCCGTTCACGCTAGTCACTAGATAACCAGATATACAATTGAGTAGTTCTCCTCCTTTTTAAAATCGGTAAAATATTCAAACTTTATATTGGCAAGTATTATTTATATTAAAAAATATCGATTATAAGTAGATATTTTATTAGGTAGGTAATCTGTTCAAAATGTACAGGTTTACATTGGTTGCCGAATGCTTTTTTTAGTGTACTAATATCAAAATTGAACTACAAATTAATAGTACATTTAAAAGAAAAGGAAACGATTTTGATTCTTACCGTAACTAAATCATGTACAATTAGATTAAAGTAAATCGATTTATAATTTATAGTAGGTATGCATAACGAATAATGGCTATATTTAATTAAAAGCATTACATTTGAGAATAATACTTGAGAATCCTAATTTCATTAGTTCCAACACTATTAGCTAATAACACATTTTTTGCACAAATACCGCATTCCGAAATGTCCATTATCAGTATGGCCGATTTTAAAGACTTATTTGCCATTAACGACAACAGTAATTTGGACTCTAACATTAGTACTATAGAGTCGTATTTTAAATGTAGTCAGTAAAGTATATACGTGATATATTTTAGAATAATTGTCATTAGGTCACGTATGGTAGGCCGAGGCTTCGTCGACGGATGATGGTGTGAAATGACTGTTCGCCGACGCCTTTGTGCTCGCCGCCTGATACCGTTTTGTATGAGGCACTTTTTGTGGCCTGCGTTTAGGATGCGTCCTGGTTTTTTTTTACTTTGTTTGTAATGCCGAGTGTGTGGGACTTGACACGTAGGTAAACTATTGTTAATAACTGTCTAATAGATCTTTTGTGACGTAAGCTTAATTCTGTTTGGTTAACGCTTTTGTATAAGTATCTACTTAAGTTTTTTTAATTTTTCAATAAAAATTATTCATTTTACCATATAAGTGGTCTCAATAATTGAATGCTAGTAAGTGAACGGTATTGGCATCCATTAAACAAATCGTTAGCACTCGGGTTAGTGACTCATAAAAGATTTATCTAATGTTTGCACGCGAAAAGCTTAGTTTCAGTTAATATAAGCACTTGCGCAGAATTGGCTTCCATTATTTAATTGGTCTGTTATTATACGAAGTTGTTTCTCAAAAGTGATAAAAGACAGATTAAGTATCGTGAATTGCCTTTATAACAATAATCTAAAAACTTGTTAACATTTAGAAAGCGAAATAACGACGTTTATTTATTTTCAATCTTAATTTAATAAAAACTACACTAAAACAAATTTAATGGCTACACTTTATGAAAATTATTATTTATCTTGATTGAATTTTAGTTTTTATATTTGCAAATTTGTGAATATGATATATGATATTGGCATTTACATAAAAACTTTCAAACTAACGTTTATGCATATGTTTACATCGTTTTAACAATTCTTTTGATAACGTATGTGGCTTTCGCACACTTAAAATATCTTTCTTGAAGCTAATATACTAGAAAGCTTCTTATTGCAATAAATGATTATAAAATTCAATTATAAGTCATAACCATTATTATATAAAACTATCTTATTTAATAACTTGCTTGTAATTATTTTTCCATATATAAATATGTAGTTGAATTTGTAAAATTAGTACTTGTCTCTACCTATACACATTTTTAAAAGTATTAATTCAAAAGAGGAGAATACGAAACATAGGTTCGTTCACGTTATTTAAAAAAGAAAAGGGTTACAATTTAAAGTCGATTTATATTTATGATTATTCTTTAACAAGACGAGTCTAGAAGAAAACAAATTGGTGTAAAATTCTAAATTTATAAACATGTGCAGAGGCAGTTGACATACAATTGTGATGATTATCCAGACAATATGTAATTTATAGGCGTCGGATGATCCGATGATTAGAGCCTTCAAGATAATGACTGCATGTTATTATCGTCCCGTCTGTGTGTAATCAGACCGTTCATCATTTGAGACAACAAACAAATATTATTTTGACATTAAAGAGTTAAATATGTATTTCTACATACATAGTTTTCTGTGCCTTTTTCTGTCAATACTTAACTACAGTAACATGCTAACCGAGGTTAAACTAATATTATGTATCTAGTCGTAATTATGTAGCTATTGACTATTGTAGATAGATATATACTTGAAGTTTTATTCGGGAATATACCTATATCCTTGCTAAGAGATTGCCCATAGCAATAAGACCGTCTTTGCATGCCTCATTGTTATTTTTCTTTCCTCTTCTGTACTCTTCTTTTGTGTGTGCAATAAAATATTTATCTAGCTATTTATCTATCTCGCTTCTGTAAGAATTATAGCTATGGCCTATGAACATATGGTTCAAGTACCTATTTAAAAAAAAAAGTTAAGTATATATTTCCCTTTTTTAAGATATACAGTTTTGTACTAAGCCATTTAATGGAATTCCATAAAAAAACCAACAATATTAGTTGTTTTTAGAAATGACAAGGACAAATGTGTGGTATTAATAATAAATACCATTTTTCAACTAAACATGTACATATATCTAAAGATACAGAATTCTAAAAGAACGCATTATAATCGCAACGCATTTAATTTACATTAAAGAAAAATGAAGGAGCAAAATTAGCTTTGTGGCATACAGTGGAACCGTAAAAAATTCTGCATCATTATGAATAAAGCAAGATTGATTCCCACACAAAAGCTGTCAACTTCTGCGGATGAATAAAAGTCAAATGCGTATTTTATTGTTGTTATAACAAAATGAAGTCGTAATGAGTAGGTTGGCAAAATGTCGCGATTGAATTAAAATTGCTTCAATATTGTGGTTAGGTTGACACTTGACAAGCGTCGCTGACGTTTGACGTCCTGTCACTTATATCTTGCAGGCACAGAGCAAGCACCAATATTCTGCAAGGATATATCATTTATTTCTGCAAGTATGCTAGCTTGCGCTTTCTATAATATTTCAAATGAGCTACATATGTAAGTAGTCTGTGGCAGTAAACCTTACACTGGGTTTTTCGTTTTAAATTCCTTACAATTGACTAAAAATAATACGGTCTTACCAATTATTTCCATTTTTCGTTAGTTTTTAAATAAACACTGATTAGAGATAAATAGTTTTTGAAGTCCAAGATTCTAAAAAAAGTTTTATTTACAAAACTAATTTCAGAATATTTTTATTTTATTTCGAAGTAGGAAAATTATTAAGAATTACAGTGCAGCAGAGCTTGTTATTGTGTAATGAAGAAAAGTTTTAAATTAGCTTTGATTAATATCTGGTATTAAAATTAATTCAATCATATAAGCATTAGCGATCTGTTACATCGCATCCCTTTGATAAAATCTTATGATAGACTGTCAAATTTTACAATACAGTAGCTTAATTGGTTGTGCAATAATTATTGGAGCTTAATAAGTTATGGTCGTAAACCGGACATATTACATATCTTCCTTGTCTTATATCTATATAATATTATAAAAATATTTATATTTAATAAGTTATTTAATCATAAATAATAATTGTAATATAATATACGAAAACAAGCTAGTTTTTATTATCATAGCAATATAATAATTTGATCATATTAACATCGAAATTGAATTTTTATATTAAGCATCTTATATTAAAATATTTTACAACAATTCCTTTACATATTGAAGACTAAAATTTTCGAACATTACGGTCAGTTGTCGGCGAGGAGTCTTGAAAACGTGCGAGACGGCCAACGCGTGTAGTTAGCGGCGTAGCTTTTGTCTTGTTTGTTATTAACAGCAATGAACCGCTCGTATGAATGATACCGTTACAGAAGTATTGCAATATTTAATATTACTCTTTTACGTAAAATAAATTTAAAGAGCTGTATTAATGAAATCTTTAAATCGATAAGGTAACATCATTAGGAACTCCAAGTTATTAATTTATAACAAAGCTTTTTAAGATATTTAACATATTTCTAATATATTTTAATTTGTCAAGTAAAACAAAATTAAAATCACTTAAAAATATATTGAACATAAGTCAATTTTGAATTTAATATGATTAAGTGAACGACAAGATGATTTCAAAACTTTCTTGCAGCTTAACAACGACGTAGCACGTCCGGGCCGTGTAGCGGGAGTGATTAGGCGCGCACAACCTGTAATCACGCCTTTGCTGCCCGTACGTCTGCGCCGACGCATCCACCCCTTCCCGCTTGTACCTCGGAGCGAAAAAACAAGTAAAAATATACACAACCTTCGCTCTGCGTACACTGTTAACGACCCGATCTGTTCTCAACGCTGTATGGGAAGATTTAGCGAATTTGAAATTCGATTGCCAGCAATGCTCCATTCATCACCCAAATTGATGGATTTGGGACCAAAAGAAAGACTTAGCGAGATGAAAGCGGACCATTTTGAAGCGATATTAATAAGCGATGCTATTATGGTTGTTGTTTCGCGGTTAAAAACCTAATTAGTTTCATGTATGCCAAACGCTCTTACGTTTTACGCATCTATAATTAGGTAAAGATTTTTGACTTTTAATAGCAGGTATATAAATGTAAATATTAGAAGTGTGATATCTATACATATAATAAAATTCTAAATCAAAATCTTATTGAAATAGACATTATTATCGAAACAGATCTCTCTGAGTGTCTGTCTGTCTGTGTGTCTGTCTGTTACCGCATCACAGACAAACCACTGGAGAGATTTTGATGAGATTTGGTATGGTGATATCTGGTTATCCGGGTCAACTTACGGCCTGTCCGCACTGCGATATTTCACCGCACGTTTTTATTCCCGCAATTCTGTAACACATTGAATCTTATAGGAGTATCCGCACTGGCAGTTAAAAATTCGCGCGGAAAAAAAATCTGTGATTTGATGCAAATTGAACGCGATGCGGCGCGGATTATTTCCGCGCGAATGTTTTGTACAGTATATAGAAGTATGGCTATGGCCGCACTGCGAAATAAAATTCGCGCGTTTCGCTCAGTCGTGCACCGACGGTATTGGTTTATCGAATGATTTTGTAGTCATTCTGTAATATCCGAAAAACTTTTTACTGTATTTTCGCAGCTCTTGATATTTAATGTAGAAAAAAATCATTTTAGATTACTAAAATGTCTCAGTAGATATAGTAGATTTATCATTTTAGACGTTTGTCTCAGTCGGAAACTGCATCAAACTGACAAAAATCGTACGAAATTTTATTCGCAGTGCGTAATAAGTACAATTTCGATCACGGAATATAATACGCGAGAATAAAAATCGCGCGGTGATATATCGCAGTGCGGACAGGGCCTTATATATTTTACCGCGGTTTCAAATTATCTCATTTCTAAAAAAATACAAAAACTGCATTGTAAGAGTATACTAATATGTAAAATCTAAGAATTTGCTTTTTGGTCATCTGAACGCGGGCGGAGCCGCGGGCAATGCTAGTGTAATTAAATTAACTTCATAAATAATATTAAAATTTTTGTTTTAAAAAACAACTAAATTACCTATATGATTTCAAATTTTAAGATCAGTATCAAAAACACACATATTCTTTGAACAAACGATGATTAGGATTGATTATAGGACTATCAATGTATACAAATATTATTACTTTAGCGCAAATGTGTTTGTTCGATCAAACATTACTTCCCACTTTTGCTGGACAAACATTTACTTTGATAACTAGTTCGATAAACTAATATATTGATGTATACAAAAAGGCACTTATAATTCGATAATTACTACATGAAGTGGTTATGAAATACATTAATAAAAACTATTGTTGTGTTTCCGAGTACAAGTTTAGTCAAATTTGTTTTATTCTCGCGTTAATATGTTTCGAAGAAAAGGCAAGGTTTCTCTTATTGTAGAGGAGGTGCCGCGTTGTCTGCCCAGAGGATATCTTTTAAACTTTTACAATTAATATTTTCTTGTTTGTTAAAAAATATATATTTTAAAATTATTAAATCGCAAATAAATGATGTTTATATGTAAGTAATTTATTTATTACATATTAATAAGTTAGAGTTTTAAAGAATTTGATTGGTTTACCTAGTTCTCCATCTTGTTTATCATTTAATTAATTAAATATTTACCTTATTTTTTATATTTAATAATAAATAAATGTATCGAAAAAAAAACACAATATTCTATTGGTAAAAGTGTTTCAGGTTCAGCATCGTATCAGTACTTCGGAGGATTTCCTATATGGAAACCAACTAACTTATCCTCTTTATAATACCTATTAGTTTACCTAAACAAAAATTCAAACCAATTTGCTAAATTTTTTTTTACTGTTTTGGCCTATGTTCATAATAAATGATTCTGTAGCGCAAAGCTTTGTCGACGCCGCTTAGTAATGACTTGTCTTCTTTTCACCTTTGTTGGACCGCAGGATGTTGTGTCATTTTATCTTCAAAGCGTTAATGGAATTTTAGTATGTAATAGAATATGAATGTAAAATAGAAAATGATTCACTTGTGTAAGGCTGGGATATTGAAATAGGTATTAAATAAATTATATTGATATTTTCAAGAATTTCCGATTGAGCGGACTGAAAAGGTCCTATGTGATAACATATGGTAGGATCTAAATGCATGGAAATGATATTTTGTGACATGACAAATATTTATGTTAGTTTTTAAATAAAACTATCTTTTCGGATTTTTTCGCGGATTTATTTGGATTTTTGGTTCCCGACGTTTCAAATGCTTTACAGCATTCATGGTCACGGGAGAGACTCAGTCTCTGAAAAAGATAATTTTATTTAAAATGTCAAATACGCGTAAATCTAAGAAACTGTTACTATTAGATTTTGATTTACTCTTACTTCTGTTTATTTTTTTTAGTTGAGAAAAAAACAGAAATAATCATTACAGCTTTAGAGCTGTTTAAAACAATATAAGCGAAACATTTACGCATTTATATTATCTATACTAATATTATAAATGTGAAAGTTTATGAGTATGGATGTATGGATGTATGTTTGTTACTCTTTCACGCCAGAACCGCTGAACGGATCTGGATGAAATTTGGCACAGAAACTTGGCTACTTTTTATCCGGGAAAGATTTACGGTTACCGTGGGATAGGTTTGTTTTTGTCAAAAAAAGTATCCTACGTCCTTGTCCCAGGGTCTCAAACTATCTTCTTACCTTTAATCTAAATCGGTTCAGTAGATCCAGAGATTACCCCCTACAACCTCACAAACTCACTTTTATTGTTTAGATCTTGGTAGAGACCTTGTAAATAAATATAAGTTATTTATTTTATTATAAATAAGTATGATTTCAAAACGAAAAACCAGTAATATTTTAATTTTAATATAGAATTCTTCAATAACTTTATACTTATATATTACAAGACAGACTTAGTTAATGGATAGCAATATCTCAATAAGTTCTAAATCAAGTTATTAATTATTTACATAATTCCGTAGCCCGATCCAGTTTATTTATGTATATTAATTATGTATACTCATAAACATGCCGAAGTCAATTATGTATCGAGTGAATTCGTTAAACGCAAATATTTTTACATTTATCATCATCAGAAGAACCGGGAAATTGTTTTGCAATATTAGTCTGAATATTTTCATATGACAAATTGCATGTCGCTTATAAATAAACATAATATGAATCATCTCATCGTCATTATAATATTTATGGTCTTGTTATAGAATTTATATTATAATTGTTTTTTATATGCTGTGTATTTACATTTATATTAAAAATGTCAGCATATGGCAAATGCTATTTGCAAATTACTCCATGTTTTTAAATTAAGTATTTGTTTGTAATATTAGGTACTATTTGATTTTTGTAAAAGTGAACGCAAGATACTCATAGAAAAATTAAAAAAGTAAAAATTGATGTACTTCTTAACAGGAATTCGAAGATTTTCGTCCTCAAATCTAACTTTTATCTTCAGCTGTACTGGCTATATCGCTATCGATAACTGTAAAATGCAGAAGAATAACATATTCGATTAAGCAATTTATTTGATTAAAAAAAATTATTATTGATTTGTTTTTAAACCGCTCGACCGATTTCGATAAAAATTCAAATAGGACCACCTGGGAAGTATACCCTTCGAATCAAAAAAAAATATCCAAATCGGTTCTGGCGTCTTCGAGTAATCGGTGAACATACTCGTACATAAAAAAAAAAAGATTCCGACGAATTGAGAACCTCCTCCTTTTTGAAAGTCGGTTAAAAATACACCTTTATGTATGTAGGTATACCCACATAATATTTTCTGAAACGTAATAAAAATATATTCAAACATATTACGTAATAAACTAATGGTATTCTAAAATATATTTCATTATTTTAAAAAATATTGTATTGTAAACATTCTTGTCAGTGAGTATAAAGAGCCAAGGAAATAAATTATGATTTTATTTGAATACGCCTATTGAATCCGGCTTCGTGACAGGGACAGCCGCGTTATAAAACCGTATTAAGGCAGCTTAGTCGGCAGCGATTTTAATTTAAGTGAATGTACCTTGTTAATTAGTACCACGATATTGGCCTTTTAAGTATCGGAATCGTATTTAGGTAGCTAATATTATGTAAATTAATGAGAATTAAAAAAATGTCTGCTAGTTAAAATCTGACCTTATATCATAAATGAATTATAATTTTGTAATAATTGACGTATATATTTTACAATCAAGGTGAATCAATTCTAATTTCAAATTCCTTGTAGAATTTATTGGACAAATATTTTATTAAATTAGTTATTAAGATTTACTGCCTCATATTTATGTTATAATAGCTTATGGAGTAAACATATAACATACTAGCTACTCGTTCTCGTTCTCGTTTAGTATAGATTTCTGAGATGAGATATTTACCAAACAAAATATCCCATAAGTATGTCGGGTAATCAGCTATCATCATACCGAATTTCATTAAAATCTGTCCAGTGTGTTTCTCGTGATGCGTTCCCAGACAGTTTTTTTAAACTTCTAATGGTGATGAAGAATATTAAAATCAATATTTTGTAAGTACTTTTTCTTCTTCTTATCCATTTATGTGCGGTTTCACCTAAAAGCTGTATTTACAGCAGTTCATTAATTCATTATCAATGAATTTTAGTCGTAGAATGTCTGTTTCGATGAATTCTATAATGTGTCTTATGAAATGCAAATCAAGAAAAAAAAACCTTACTAAGTATTTTATATTCAAAGCCAATATTTAAGTTATTTGTATCAAATATAACAAAATGTTAGGAGTTGTGTGCATTTTACCAGCAGCAACCTTTAAAAGGTTGATTATTCATTATTTATAGTAGTGAAGCAATCACCATATTTACACTATTTGCTTAATATATTAGTAAAACAGGTGCTTTAGCTCAGTGTATAAGGTCACAATGCACATATACATCATTAAACTAAGTAGATAAGTATATGGTATTTAAACGTCTTTAAAGAATAATATTTTCTATGGAAATTCAGACTCTTGGACATTTTTGTACCGCCTAATTGTACCGTTACAAAGGAAGCTAGCTATTGGAATATAAACTACATTTGATAATAGAAACATAAAGAGTATTAAATGAACGAATATATTTTTTTTATATAAAATTCCAAATCAAAAATTATTAAAAACAAATGTTTTGCCAATATTATCAAAAACTACAACTACTTCATGGCTACTAATTTATTTATTTTTTTACTAAAGTTTTTAATAGCATTTAGCAGTTATAAATGAAAGCTATAATTATTTCAAAGAAATTATAAAATGTGTTGGACATATTGAAAACACTGTAGGTTGGTTTACGCGATCAAAAGTAATAAAATATTGTTGTTTATTTATCCCGTCGTATGTGTCGGACACAACTGTTCGTTTTACGACGCATCTGCCGTTTCACGCTTGCCTTTTCCAATTTTCCATCGGCCCTTTCTTTCGTACCTACATAAAATTTAATGTTTTTGAAAAGATTCGCCCTCATGTCCTACCTTGATATTGGTCATGCCATCTCTAAGACAGAAATTGTTAGTGGTTACTTCACAGGAAAGTAGTAAGTATCTATTGACTGTTAGGAGCTATTTTTGTTTAATTTTTTCTTTATTTATTGTCGTATAAGCTCGCAGGTGTCGCATGCGACAAGCGTCCAGTGCGTCACGCATATAAGCCGGTGTTGAAGAATTCTATAGAGGTGCTTATTAAAATATTTGTTGTTCGTGTTATTTATTTGTATATTATGTTGAGGAGCTTTGTGTTGTGCCGCCGGATATTCTCGCTGGCGTATGTCCCACCTACTAGACGTGGCCGCCGTATGCAACCATTGTACTAGACTGTGACTAATTCCCTTGTGTATACTGGAACTATGCAAATTTTGAAGTAAAAATAATGTTATTGTTTGATTAAATGAAAAATGTTGCCATTCGGTAATATGTATAGGTAATGAGGAATTCCAATAAATTGAATTTAGTTATAGTATTCATATATTGTAAGAATTTTGTATCACTAAATTGAATTACTTATATAAAAAAAAAGTTGGTACAATTTTTTAAATTTGATCATATTTACGTGTGTCCTGTGCTTATTATCGCAGTTACTATAGCAACTACTATAGTTTTTACTAGTGGCTTGTTTATAATATCTATAATTATTAACAACATCACTAATAAAGGCGGCTGTAGGCACATGTACATGAAAATGTACCTTCTTGTAAATACATATTCTAATACACCCAAAGCTACGTGTGCGGTATTTTTAGATTACATACTTTGAAGAAAAATCCTATTACCTACACGTCCACTTTTGTAATAGAACCTATTAAATAATAATTGATATACAGTAAAATGTCAGAGTACCTGAGTTAGTACATCCTTAATCTATACTTTGGAACTTATATATACAGTATATACCTAACGTTTTTAAAACTTATTTTTTTACCCACCTTACATATGTACATATGTAATTTGGGAAACAAAAATGAGTGATCTATATAAATTCATAAGTCGATTATTCTGTAGAATCTCACCAGGTGCCATATGCCATAAATATAACCATTAAACTGAATTGATTACGAAAGCCTCATATATATCTACATGATGTCTTGCATAGAACGAATCAAGTTAATTATTCTCAGTGGAGGTGAAAAATTAAATTGGGCATCGGCTTGAGTCGGCCGAATGGTTGGACTGTTAAAACATTATGACCCATACCATTTTATCTCCCTTAAATCTCGAACAGAGGTCCGGTCATCGCAGACGCTCCGGCGCAGTGGGAAAAGGACGAAATACACGTGAGAAAAAGGGATCAAGTATATGACCGACAGAGGTCGAATATAAATGTGGAATGTTTATGGTTCTACCGTTTTATTTTATTCTTAGTCGGCAAACCATTTAATATTGTTTCAATTGCAGCGAACAGATCGGACGGGGCTCTAATGAAGAATAATAAAAAATGAAGTTTGATTAAGTTCCGTTTGCGAAGATATGGGGCTGAGATGTACTGGCCGATACTACCTGTGTTACAGAATCAGATATCCATCTACGTATCGCAATCGATTGGCTTAAGTGTGCATAAATAACGATTAGATCGTTCGATTAGACTGCTACTGCAGCAATACTTAATTTCTTAAACGTTTATTTAAATTGCCATAATACTATAAAATATACCGTTAGAATTAAGCATTAATGTCGTCGAACATATCTTAAAAATTTCTCTTTAAATATTTTAATCAATAACACTGTAATTAATTTACTTAATTATTGTGAATTCTCTGTATATAAAAATTATTTATTATTATTTCTTATCAATGGAAAAGTAATGGATTGAAATTGGATAAAATCAATATAATTGATCTAAGAAAAAATATACATATTTCTAATAATTCTAAACTAAGTTGAGTGGCCAATATAAAAAATAATAATAATAATTTTCTTTTTATATTATTGTTTAAAAATACAATAAATGTAATAATTATATTTAACATATTGGAAAGTGGTCATAGAAAGTGTTACTAAAAGTACTATAAAATAAAGAAAAGGCATACGGGCATACCTACATTGTACATACATACATACAACTTATCCGAAATTGAAAATTATTTGGCGGGCATTTGTGTAGGTAATATGAAATTATTTTTTCTATATTTTTTTATGTTGGGCTAATGCTTACAAAGTTTATATGAAATATTTTTTATAAATAAAATGCAAAACTGAATACTGAATCGATTTTAGAAATTATAACTTTTACTATAGACATTTTTTTCATTCCATCGGGAAAACAATATAAATGATTCTGTCGAGTCGTCCATTTCGATTTACATGGCATCAAAAATAAAGTCAATTCTTAGCGCTTCAAATTTGGTGACCATTTGCAACATTTTCTTAGAAATGCCTCCCAACTTGTTCGGAACATTTTTCATGGTGTGCAATAAATGCTAAGCTAGCAGTCTTATAAATTATCTAATTATTACCATTGTATTATATATAAAAATCAGCTTTTATACTATAACGTAAGTAGAATTATGATTTCATGAAAAGGGTCTGGCAAGGGTTTGCCACGATGTTAAATGTCTGGCATTGAATAACGTGATTTTTAATAATATTCTGAAGGTAATACCAAAAAATCACACTTTATTATTTGACGAATTTAGATCGGTATTTTACACACCTTTAGTACCGTGTACCTGTAAAAGCCACCATAGCCTGAACTTCATAATGGTCCATCGTTCTTATCTGTGTTAGGAGCATGCGCTGACAAACTTTCAGCCTTTATAAAGTGACGAAGGTCTGGCGTTCATGGGCTCTTCCTCTATATGTTTAAGGATGCTATTAACACTAAGCTGCTAACTTAAATAAAATTAAACAGCGGGGTCCTTAGGTAGTAGTTATAAATTATAATTAATCTGTAATATTTTTATTCATAATAATTGTAGTTTTATAATTTTAGATTTTCTTATAATGACAAAATCATTTTTTTGTATTATCAGCATAGGTAGGTGTTGCTGGTGATATTTTAAATTTCCTTCATAAAATCCTAATAGTAATATACATTTTCGTCATATTTACCTCAATAGTATTTTAAATAAATGTAAAATTTCTTTAATAATTCTGCTTAGATGTCCCGATTTAGCCATACTTCTTTAAGTATTTTTATGAATGTATTTTTTCAACTATTTATTTACCTACTAATATAGTCGTCGCACTTCCCACCAAGTTGTTAATGGTACCTATCATAGTATGTATAAACTGCTTAAAAGTGGCGTTACCTATTATTTTATTAAAATACTATCGACTCACCCTTTTTTTGTCCGGGTTAGTCCCTAGACAAAAACAAATCTATCCCACGGGAACCGTACATTTTTCCGGTATAAAAAGTAACCTATGTGCTATTTCAGACTATAATCTATATCTGTGCCAAATTTCATCCAGATCCATTCAGCCGTGCTAAAGTGACAGAGTAACAAACATCCATTCATCCATCCATCCATTCTCACAAACTTAAACATTTATAATATTAGTAGGTATAGAATAGTCGGATGTAGACTTTTATAGAATATTTTTAAGTTAGTGATGTTACGTATAATAGTATGGACATAGGTAGGTACATATATGTAACATATATCTTAGCGACATTAGATATATTCAATAATACTTAAACAGTGATCAAATAAAAATTAAATAAAAACTTTCTTACGTACCCGTAGGTATAACATACTAAATTATGATAAAAAATTTAAAACGATCAGTTGTCAAAACATTTCTAAGTACCTGATTCATTTGCTCATACAACAGTAAAATCTTAAGGCTTTCAACTGAAATGACCTTTGTCCAGCGTCAGCTCTTAATAGTAACCACCATACACTTTCATATGTATTGAAATAGGATGAACGTGGAGACCGCCCGTACACAAAGGCATTGTCGCCACCGCTTTCAACTTCAGCCGAGCCGCCGCATTGTGTCGCATTAGTCGCGGCGCCGGACGAGTGTGTCGCGTGTAGCAACACAGGCACCGACAGAGACGCCGCTGTTTGCATTGTACTACGTGCCGTGACATATCGTTTGTGACCTACGCCTTATCTTTTATGGAACTGAGCTTTCGCGTTTACAGTTACGTATCTACAACCATTGTGTGTAAAGATGTGCTGAAATTACTCATATGCTTATGAGACGTGATGCTGCAAACGTCGCCAGCGATTTGAATTTCAAATGTAATTATTATGTTGCATAAAGATTTTTATAGCATGTTTTAGAATAGCAAAGACACCTTGTATAAATATTGTGTTTTATTTATTAACTAGCGGCTTACTCTCGCTTCGTTTAGGCACGTCGCTGGGTACTTTTTAAATATTATGTTGATATAAATATTTTAATTAATGTTTTCCTACGAATTTTCGGATGTTTTAATAGTTATTCTGCTAATCGAGGTAGATACAAATCCAACAAATCAAAAATCATAAAAATCGATCCAGTCGTTCTTGAGTTAGAAATAATGTAATTAACCCAACTTTATTTTATACATATAATATAGATAATGATAAATTATTTCTCTTCAAATTTTTTTTAATTTTTATTATTGATTGTCGTTCAATATATATCAATCGTTCAATATATATGTACAATCTTAACTTTAAAATTATTAGCCAAAAGCAATTCATTCGGTTTGATTAGCGCCAAAATCGACACCTACCGTTTCAGTAAAACTTAAAACGAATTTTTCCCTTTTTTTATGTATTTTTAGGATTACCTTCCTGTTTAATCTAGCGATAACTGTATATGAAGATGAAAAACTTGTATTTACAATAAATGTGGTCCATTTTGAAATAAAAAAAATTATATAATATATTATAATATCATTATTTTGTCAGGATTGTGCAAATAAACTATAATTATTTAATTACGACGATTCTTCTCTGATCTTTAATCTAGGGTTTTTTTTTATAAAAATACATCTAAATAATTTTTTGCAATAAAATATAGATAATATGTATTATATAGGTATTTATTACTGGTCGGCATATTTTATTTTGAAAATATAGAATGTATAGGTAATAGGTATATTATATGTTATGTGTGTTGTATGCTATGTGTATAAGCTATGTGTTTATAAAAGCGTTATGGTACATTGCAGCTTAAGAAAACTATGGGCGAGATTCATAGATTGCACATACATTTTACATTATGACAGAGTTCTTTTAGCAAAATAAATGTTTTATAGTTTTGTCAAACGTTCACATTACTTTAGAAAACCGTACTTTGCTTAGGAATGATATTAAAGTCGTTATTAGTTACTTTGTAAATAAACTGAACTTTGAATGTACCTACTATCCGAATAAGTTACATATTAGCATACGTCAATATCATATTATGGAAGAAAAAGTAATTTAAATTTATTGGGGTATCTAATTAGATTTAGAAATATTAATGTTCGGAATGTAAAGTTTACCCTGTAAAGACGACTTTGACTTAGAGTTATTAAAATGAATTTAACCCTTACTTGCATAGCTCTCGAAAACTTCCAATTATGCACTCCGGCTCTATCATTTCTTCGACAAGTACCTATATATATATATATATATATATATATATATATATATATATATATATGAATATTATCTGTACATACCTATATATAAAGCAGTGACTTAGCGAAATCCATGTTGCGCGTTTCACACTTTTGTGTATTTTTTAGTACTGAACTGATTTTTACTAAAAAATATGTAGTAATACATTCAAAACAATAGGTACTTATTAAAAATTTTGCCTGTTCGTCTGTATGTCTGTTTGTTTGGGTGTGCGCGTTTTACGCAAAGAGTATGGAACTGATTTTAAATTTTGTTTAGATCACTTAACAAAATTAATAATATAATCAAAAATATATAATATAATCCCATTAATTCATTAATATTATAAATGCTAATGTTAAAATTAAAAGACTTAAATACAGTTAGTTGAAAGTTAAATATAGTTAAAGTTAAAATATTATAAATGATGGATATTTGTTACTCAATCATACTAGAACGGCTGAACGGATCTGGATGAAATTTGGCACAGAGATAGAGTATAGCCTGGAATAGGACAAGGTTACTTTTTATCTCCGAAATGTACGGTTCCCGTGGGATAGAATTATTTTTGTTTTTCAAAGAGCAAGCGATCAACTATCTATTCGATACTAAACGTTAAAATATACCTAGGGACGAAGTGGAGCGAAGTGAGGGCGAGTCGCTAGTTTATAATAAAACGTTATTTTTAATTCAAAAGTTATCTAAATCCATTATGACGATTATTATCAAGTTCTTTATTTTAATCTTTATTAATTATTATCGCCCATAGTGAATGTTAATTCAAAATAATACTTTTATATTTTATGCGAAATAATTAATAAATAAAAAATATATAAGAGTAAATTCTCTACACCTTCTATCAATTAATGAATTCCTCGGTTATATGAATATAAAGTACCAATTACATGTGACAATTAAAACCATCACATTGCCGATATCAATTATTATTAATAGTATAATCCACTAAAGCCATTTCATTCTATTTCATGTGTGACTTTTTTAAATTGTCTTTCGGTTGTGACAGTAATTTAATTAAAAAATGGAAATTTGAAGTAAAATTGGTTAAAAATAATTAAAACACCAACTAACCGTTAACATATATAATGTAATTCTTTTCTCTACGTCTACAATAAATTATTTTTTATCTTTTGCACGAATCTGTACATATTTACAATTGCATATTAACACAAGTATCACAGCTTCATAAAATAACATTAATTTTTACGACTATTTTAGGAATTTATATTTAATTAAAAGCATTCTTATAACTCTTCAATATGTTTCAAAATTGACTCTGCAAATTTATTCCTGTAATGAAAAAAAAAAACTTAATTTTTCTTTTTAATAATCAAATAATAAGAAGTTAATATATGGTACTCTAGAAGACTTATTGAATATTAAATTAACAGTATCTAAGGTTTAATTTATTAATAAAAAATTAAATTTTATTTAAACGTACCTACACTTAACCAAAATAAATTATTATTCAGAGTATTTTTAATATAAATACCTACTCATACTTAATAAAGTTAATGACACAACAATCTACATGGAATATTTTTTTTAAATACCAGTATGTTTGAAATGTTACAGTTAAATCAACATCTATTCAACATTTGTCTCTTTTATTATTATTTATTACTTAAGAAATTCTACTGGAGCTTGAAATAAATTTGCAAAGCTAATCTTATTACATATCTATATATAAATTACTCCTTACCTGTTTATTTCTCAGGTATTCAGCGATCTTGAATACTTTTTGACTTAATTCATAATTCCCACGAACTCTATTAACATATACTAATCCACTAACACATTTAATTTAGGCAGTTTACAATCTGCCTGCACAGTTCCTTATAACTAGAACATCCTTTCTTTCTCTAACGTCCATTATTTACCTGTTAACAAAAAAAACATTATTTAATTAGGTATTTTTCATTGTCTTTTTTAATTACCTATAGGGAAAGTTTTTTTATGAATAATATTTTGAAACAAAACATTTTGAAAAGTAAATAGATATACATATAATTAATTTTCTCGTATCTTTTCTACATAATATAATTAATAGCTAAAAAATTTTTGTTCAATCTGCTGTTATATTCGTATTCTATAAACATATTTGAATTGTGCAATTATAATTCTTTGTATTATCCTTTGTTATGAATACTAATTTGCAAATTTTATAAAGGTCACGATAATAGAGTTATACACAAAAATAGGAATTAATAACTAACAAATATTATTAGGTTCGTAGTTTAATTTTAAGTTAAAAAAAATGCTAGTAAATATTAAATTAACTTTGTCATAAAAGTAAAACAATTTGAGCTAGGTGCTAATGTGTTTGTATTGATATACCTATACATACGATTACATATTATGCCTATAGATATTACAATTTAAAATTATCTTAATATATATAAATCTTCTATACGTGTGTTTGTTAACCTACTCCTCCTAAAGGACTGGGCCGACATGGATGAAATTTTGTGTGTATATTTCAATGGGTTCCTGGATGGTTTGAAAATACAAATGGACCCAGCAGGTGGCGCTGCAGTCGGTGTGCTACTAAATTTTCATAAGGTTCCATTTTCCGAGCAATAATTAAATTTAAATTGTTGCTCAAATAAAATAAAAATCGATAGGTGTATGTATGTTTCCTATGGACTACAAAACAGCTGGAGCGATTTTGATGACATTTTCAGGTAATCTTCAGATTAGCCCAGCGGGTGATCCTGTGAATTTTGTTAGCGAACGGAAGTTTGGACGCGGGCGAAGCCGCGGGTACTGCTAGTATGATTTAAAATCTTTAACCACTGGATTTTAGTATAAGTAAAAAAAACATATGAAAAATAGCAAAATTAAATATTTACTTAACATTAACACATTTTTAGGTATTTCTTATCTGTTTATCTGTAGGAAATAATTAAATCATGCACGTTTTGATGTAGCTATACGCTTTGCCAAGCAATTTTGTAATTAATTTTTATAGTGTCTAGTATTTATACTTGTTAATTGTATTCATACTATCAAATTAATCTGACTCTAATAAATATTTATATTAGGATTAGGAGCATTTCACGTATAAAGTACGTAGGAATTATAAATATGAGATAAAATTTCATTTTAGTATAGGTACTAAGATTGTAATTTATGTAAATAATTATAGTGGGTATGTTACCCACAGATAGAAATACGTATAACTTACTTATATGTATATAATTACAGATATTGTTGGGGCTATACCATAGAAAATAATATTATCTTTATAATTATATGTTTTGTTTAAATCTTGTTAGAATCACTTATAATAGAAAATTTAGCTGCACTTTTCTTAAGCCCTATAAATTGTTAGTTGATGATTATAAAATTAATCTGCAAAGAGTTTCCTATAGCCTATAGGTACGTACCTATATCATTTATCAAATTTAGGTGAAATAAAGATTTAGAAATAATCATTAGGTACTTGATATTTGTATACGTTCTGTTATTTTTAAGTCATAATTTTTTTTAAATGGTCAAAGCCTGCATGTACATGCTGATGAAACTCTTCTGCATTAATTCGTTTTGATTCGTTCATAACTGTTTCAGTTTTATTAAAAAAAAAATGAAATGTTTGGCACACACAATAACTTCGGTGCAACAATACGGTCCTATGACAAAATAGCTGTTTTTATAAGCTACGATCTTACATATATCTATACTATATAAAATATTGTGATTATACTTTACTAGTAGAACGTGCGGCTTTGCTTGCGTAAAACTACAAAAACTCTAAAAAGTAAGTTTATAGCTCTTATGGGATGAATTTCGAAAATGCTAAGACACGATTTATTTCATTGTATTGAAAAGCATTAATACCAAGTTTCAAGTAATTCTGATTAGAAATATTTTTTCAGTTGTATTTTAACGTGTTTTCCCGTGGGATTGAGAGAATTTTAATCCCAGTAAAAAGTAGCCTATGTTATTCTTCAGCCCTTCAACTATCTCCATACAAAAAATCACACCAATCCGTCACTCTGTTTCGACGTGAAAGAAGAACAAACAAACACGCTTTCACATTTATAATATTAAAGTATGGATTTACTTTTAAGTTTAATTGTTTATATACCTATATATTGTTTGTTTAAATATATTTATATTGCCATAAACTTGTAAGTATAATAATTGCGATAGGTAGGACCTGTCTAATAAAAAATATTTGTATAAAATTTATAAGCATGATTACACTGAATATAATATGCGGTACCTATTTGATTATACAGTTGATTAGCGAGACGTCTAGACAGATGAATCATTTTATTCATTATACAATTTAATGAATAGGTGCAATTTTAAGTGTAGGTTAAGTTTGTTTGCTTATGACACTGATTAATTAATTATTTATATTTTATATGATAAGTTATTTTTATTATTATATTTCAAAATAGCATAAAAAAAATATTAAATCAAAATATTTGATTTTTTTGTGTTTTTGCCATATTTAAAAGAAAAGAAGTTCTCTGCCATGTTTATGTATAGAAATTACAATTATAATTCTAGTATTGGAACATCCTCATCCTCCTCTCTCCCTCATCGTCACAATCTAGTACTATTTAATGTAGATATACGTTGCCATTACACGGGTTCACTATAAGTAAAAAGAACTTAGGTAAACACATAATGCCTCAAACGTTTTTGAAGCATTTCATGTATTAATATTTTTGTGTTATCTAATGAACTATATAGAGATAACTTATTGAATTACAAAACGATTTCAGTTAGGACTTGGGTGAGTTCAGGGTGGGTTATTTGTAAATGTAGGCAAATGTAGAAAAAATAACCCGATTAATAACGTATAAAAAAAACCTGAAAGGACTTGATTACGTGGAATAAGTGTGTGTAAAAAAATACATTAAGCATTAATTTTAAAATTCACAAGGAAATCATAAATAAGAACCAAGCAAAAAATGGCCATAATGGAGCTCTATTTTTACACCAAGACCAGTGGCGGCCTTAGGGGGTGGCAAGCAGGGCAACCGCCCGGGGCCTCGCGCTTGTAGGGGCCTCGCGCTTTCGCATAACAACCCAAGTGTTGATACACTTGGGTTTCAGTTGATTCTGATGAATCTCCTGCCTTAGGCCGGACATTACAAAACCCACATCCCGCCAGTACAAGCATGTAGCGTTGAAGTCAATAAGCTATTAATATTAAATTTTACGTTATTATAGTAATTATAGTAAAGAATGAATTAGTAAAAAGACTGCGTACAACTGCTTGTATTTTTTTAATTAATTTTATGTGAAAAAAATATTTTCTAAATAAGTTCGCGCGATTGTGATGCCAGTAGAAAAATTGAGTTTGGTAGTTCAAAAAGGCATCAAGCCATCAAAAGAAAGCAGGTAGAAGAAAATCTGTATGGGTCTCTATATAAATATATAAAAGGTGATGGTCAAGAAGCTTCTAAGTCCTTAAGATCTTTCAGTGACTAAAAGTGACATGTTTTTGCATTCTAAGCCTAAAGCAGCTGAAATATTTTTATCGACATCATCTGGGATGCCGTTACTACCTAGCGATGATAACAGTAAGTAAACAACATCATTGTTACTCTACCGCCGCCGCCGTCGTCAACACTATCCAGCCAGAAATACGTATCTACGAGTAAATCTATGTCTACATCCATGAGTGGCGGAATTGAATATCTTATACTCAATACGTAAAATGACCCAGGTTTATGACCATCAATAATTACTGATGCAAACCGAACTGAGATTTCATTGAAAGGTCCAATCCTAATCGCTAAAACAGATTTTTTTCCCGTAAATGATAGTGGACGTTGAATAGGTATCATTACAATTAAAATATTAGCTTATGGTGAAAAATTGGACAAGCGCTGGATGATTTATTCACAAACAAAACTTGTCATTCACTTCTTCTGTCGATTGTTCAGAATAGAATATAAAGAATTGGGTCCAGTGCAGAGCTTTGTAATGGGAAACACTTGGGTAAATATTTAAAGTTTCACGACTTCGGCTGCACAAAGATTGTATGTTAAAACGGTTAAATTTAGAGAACGGATTGTGAGCGGATTATTAAATTTAGAGAACGGATTAAAAAGCTGTACAACTATTAACTCTTTAGCCCAGAGGCTTTCCTTCATTGGCCGCCCAAAGTGAAGCGCAAGAGCCAAATCCTTGAGAGGGTAGAAGTGCTCATTCTGTAAAATAACGGGAAAACCCACGCGCACTTGTGATGGTGAAACCGGTGCACACTTCTCGATAACCGTAGCCAACCACACTGATGTTGTGCCCGGGGCACTATGCCATTAGTGGGAGGCGAGTCACCGTCTGCCAAATATTGAATCTGAGACTGTTGAGAAGGCGGACATTCGGTAGTCTCATCCAATAGCCCAGTTTTTAGCCCGTCCAAATTCCATTCCATAGACTCTTTTAGTTTTCCATAATTTCCATAGTCCCTACGCATTGTGCGGAACCATATTTAAGCAATTCCTTATGGGTTACTCAGAGATGGATGCCGGTTGATGCGTCATATTAAACACTTAAATCTCTTAAGTGGTCTCTACGTGTTGGACCTGTGTTGCCCACACAAGCCTTCCAAACAACCGAGCTCCTTCGAGCTCATGAATTCTAAAGAGCAGTGCCGGATTCAACCTTAGTGCCGCCCCTGGACACTATAAAAGATGCCACCCTGTTATTGCAGCTTTGCATAAAATGAATAGTTTTGATAATTTTTTTTTAAATGCAAAAATAATAATTTATAAGTGATATTATTTGTTCGAAAAATATATCTACTACTTAGTCTTTTTTAATTATTCATTTTTTGGGAACTAAAAAAAGCATTTTTGATAACGTGAAGACATTTTTTTCCCACCCTCCAAATTTTGCTGCCCCTAAAAATTTGCGACCCTGAGCACTAGCCCGGAATGCGGAATGCCTAGTGTGAATCTAGCGCTGCTAAAAAGATACTAATAATGTCCACTATCTCTGAAAAATTATTCAAAATGAGCTAATAGAATTAATGGCAAGTCACGCAAAACCTAAAAATGTTGACAAAATAATTTTGTCTTTTTTGTGTTTGCTAACTTTTATAAATTTCTAATATACAATTTTAAAACTCTCTAAATTTATTTATTTATAAATTTTACATTTCTCGCCAAGCATCATCATTAAAAATATTTTCAATTCACGTAAATTTTATAAAAGACCAGGGCCTCGCAAAGGTCTCCTGCCCGGGGCCTCGCAATGGCTAAGGCCGCCCCTGACCAAGACACAGACAAACACACAGATATAACTATAGTTTTTTAGGTTTTCAATGATTTCAGTTAATAACTACAAATGGTACTAATTCACATTATACATATATTTAGTATATCTTGACAGATACAATATATTGGCGATAATAAGATTGGTCTAGTTGTTGTTTTCGGATAAAGAAAGTAGTTTCACCGTCTGTAGTTACATTAATCTACCTATATATAGGTCTTTTGTGTAAATCTGCTCACCGTCTACAGAAAACCCAAAGTAGACTATACTATTTGATTGTCAGACCTATATACCTTACGTATTCTTATAACTTTTAAAAAGAATGTCAGTGTAAATACATTTTAAAATTTTAATGAACCTGTTCATATTATATACCTACTAATTAATGTTTTTAAGCATTATATATGATACACCTACCATTCATGAATTGAGCGTGTAATGTGAAAATTGACTGGTATCTCTCCAAGTCCACAGAGGTGGTAAACACGACTGTTGCAGACCAGCCAGTAGCTCTGCATGGTATCGCTGAGCAGCCAGCAAGTACGGGGCTGCAGGTAGCGGCATGGGACAGTGCGGCTGCTGCACTGGAGGAGAAGGCGAAGATCGCCTGGGCTCGGGCTCTAGTAGAGCGTCTATAGTAAATGCCCGACGTGGTCTTGGCAATGTTGGGAGTAATGCTGCTGTATCAAGAGGTTCTGACGGTTCAGGACTTAGCCTTGGACATAAATTCATGGCTGATGCGTACATACCGCTAGACATGTTACCAGGTGTATTCGCCTGTCGTGCAAGAAAAGCTCTATTAAAACTTGCGAGAGCAGCCAATTCGGCATTGAGGCTATCTTTTTCACCTTTATGCAGCTTAAAACGCTTTCTTCGACGAAGCAGTGATCCATTTTCAAACATATCAAAGGCTTGAGGGTGCAAAGTCCAGTATGCACCTTTACCAGGACGGTCCGGGCGGCGCGGGACTTTTACGAAACAGTCGTTAAACGAGAGATTGTGCCGTAGGGAATTCTGCCATCGTTGCGTATTACGGCGATAATATGGGAATCTGTCCGTGATAAATCTGTATATTTCTGATAACGGCAGCATCCGTTCTGGTGAGCTCCATATTGCCATGGCAGTGAGGGCTATGTAGGAAAATGGTGGTTTTTGATCGCCGTATGACTCGCGCGTCGGCCTGGGCATCGCTTAACACTTTTCAGATTTGAAATGATCTGTATGTCGCGTCGGTAATGATATTTCAGGCAAGTATGTAACACGTCTCTCACTGGTTAATTTAAGATAAGGACTGGGTGAGCGAGCGAGACTGGTGCGCGAGGCAGGCGGGGCACACCGCGTGGCCCGCCCTGTGATGACTGCGCCAATGGCAGCTCGTTCACTTTGTTTGTTGTTTTTGTCGATTCTAGACCCGTTACAGAAGAATTTAAATTGTTATCACGTTTACATTATACAAAATTAATTCTACATCGACACTTGAGTTTGTACCGAAATTGCAAGTTTATTAAATAACTTGATATATTTATTGATTCAATTTTAAATGATTCGATAATCCTTATTTATGAAGTATACTCATAAATAAGGTTTCACCTTTCATATATACCTACCTATGACCATAATGTTGTACCGCAATGATTAAAAAGATAATTTTTATATTATATGGATTGACAAACGGAATTTTTTTCACTGTCATTATAATATTTTAGATTTTCCCTTAAGTTCTTTAGATTACTTTTCTTTTTTTTTTCATTTATTTCACAATAAGTATGTAATGATTGAATAATTAATACTGTTTGTACCTACTCTATAAAATCTGTTATTTTTAATTTTTCTACTTTTTAAAATACAAAGATCTATGAAATTTTATTTACTGTTGACGAAAATAAAGCTACATACATGTTATATTATTAATAGAACAAGATTTTTCTTTTCAAGTTAATTGAATAGGTACCTAAATTTACTGAAATCGAATAATGGGTAAAAAAAGTTATTAAAAGCATACAAGTTCTCGCTTCGTTTCTGGCCTCACTCAATTCTTGTGCCAAAATATCATGAGACTATATATCCCTACACAGGGGGAACTCTTGGCTTATTCTGGCTTGCAATCAGTGGAAGCCTACCATTAAAATCTATTCAGTTGTTCTGAAGATTAGAGGGTGCGAGCAGGCGTACAAATATTTGTTAATGTTTATTTAGGCGTTGGTAGTGTACAGATAACAATATTAGCTCAATATGGGGTAGTTGTTTTGAAATTATAGACAAAAATTTCAATTTTATATGCAAAAATAGATATTTCTATTATTTTACATGCATAGTTATTTTTTTTTTAATTCATGGGGACAATTTTTCGAAAATGGACAAATGTTTTCCTTATAATTCTAACCGAATAGAGTCTGAAATGAAAATTTTAGTAAAAAAAGTTGAGTTTTCGATGCAAGCTAGCTTTGAATATTTAAATTTTTAAAACTAAAAAGCTGCTATACTAAATCTCACCCTGGGCTGGGAATAAGGCTTTAGAAATTTAAAATAACAATATTCTAAAATTAGCGACTTACCCTCGCTTCGCTCGCTTTATTTCAAACCATTTAAGCGATAAAGCAACTAACCATGGCGGTTGAGAATTCCGACTTCAGTTAAATTTATTATAATTTGTGACAGTAAACACACTGATATAGGCATAAAAATAGCCTGTAGCACTCGGCGGTAATGTAGCTTCCTATTAGTTAAAGAATTGTCATAATCGTATTAGTAGTTTCAGAGATAATGTTCAAACTTGCAAACTTTACCCCACATTCAAACTTACAGACTTTACTTCTGTAGGTATAATATTAGTGAAGATACAATAAAATCGGTCAAGTGCGAGTCGAATTCGCACACGAAATGTTTTGTACCATCGTAAATGTACTTTTTATCAATACGACTTTTACTATATGTATGTAGTATATTAACTTCTATGATCGATTACGAACGAAAAAATGTTTCTTGCATCTTTATTTTATTATTTTTATTATTTGTTGCTATAGCGACAATAGAAATACATACTCTGTGAAAATTTCATCTCTCTAGCTATTACGGTTCATGTAATGAAGCTTTCTGAGGGACGGACGGACGGACAGCGGAGCCTTAGTAATATGTAGGGTTCCGTTGGCACCCTTCAGGAACAGAAGCCAAAAAGCATCTAGAGATGAACTCGAACGAAGCGAGGGTGAGTCGCTAGTACCTAGTAACTTGACTGGTAGTTAATTATTAAAAGCTCTGAATTGTATACCTACGTGATAATATTAAAGGAATCGATGATTTTCTCCAATTCAAAATGCTATACCTAATATACTTAATATATTATATTTACGTACCTAGTATAGGGCATACAAGCTACAACAGTTTCTCATAATACTTTCTTAGATTTACGCGAATATTTGACATTTTAAAAAATTACTATATTTTCGGATTTTTTCGCGGATTTATTTTGATGTTTGGTTCCCGAAGTGTCCGAATGCTTTACATTATGGTCACGGGAAAGACTAAGGTTTTAGACGTCGACGATGTGATATATCTTACTAATAAAGAATTGCCCAAAAAAAGTTGATAGCCAGTTGATATGATGCAGAATAAGTAACTCGTACCTAAGTAGGTACGTGAAATTTATATTTTAATTTTTTTTAATACTCTAACTTAAAAACGGTAAGGTTCGTATTTAATGTGATGAGGGTGATATACTAACTATAAAATAAAACAACATAAAAGGTATCTTATAGGTATATATAATCAAAACTAGCATTGCTCGCGGCTCCGCCCGCGTTCAGATGACCAAAAACCAAATTCTTAGGTTTTACATATTTGTATGCTCTTACATTGCAGTTTTTATATTTTTTCTCAGAAATGAGATATTTTCCCGCGGTAAAAAGTATTCTGTATATCCGGATAACCAGCTATCACCAAACCAAATTTCAACAAAATCCATCCAGTGGTTTTTCTGTGATGCGGTAACAGATCGACATACAGACGGACAGACAGACAAAAATTCTAAAAACTATAGATTCGGCCTCTGTATCGATAATAATGTTTATTTCAATTAGATTTTCCAAAAAACATTTAATGTACAGATTCGGCTTTTAGTTAAAATTTTATTATATGTAGGTACAGACTGACCAAGCCTGAGAACTTTCGTATTATCAGTTTACTAAAAATTAATCATTATTAAATAAAATGTTACTATATTCATTTATTCAGATACTCTACGCAAATATACCTTATATATACCATGCATAGGTACCTATAAAACCCAAAATTCGCGGTTCCGATTAGTACTGGGCTGCTTTGCCAGGTTTTCTATTTTAATAATTATTTTCTATATCCTTTTCGCGTTTTACGTACGTTATATATGTATAAAACAATTAAAGGGTTCTGTATCACCTATCCTCCAGTTCGCCCCTAATACTTAACACTCGCCTATATTATTAAAGGAAGTCTTGTGCTAAATTCCATGTTCCTAGACCCAGTCATTTATGTTGCGCGCTAATACTCACTCAGCAATTTATCCTTTGATATACCTATTATAGAAGATACTACAGGATCTTTTTATTTTCTTGAAATATTTTCTTTGTTTAAACTAATTTAACGTATATACACACAACCAAAAAACGCTCCACACTTTCTAATTAACCATTCGATATAAAAGAAGTGACAAACTTACTAATAACTACCAAAGTTCATCCACCATGTAGGTTTTGTTTAAGAAATATGTGTTTGCGTTTTCTTTAGAATGAAGTTAAAATATTGGCAAGGGTGAAATAAATAGGTACTTATGTATATCGTAACTAATATAAGTAAATTTTATTATTTTATCATTTTTAGTGAAAAAGAATGAATGAAGACATCCGACAGAGAAGTAAAGTTATCGACATAGCCCAAAGAATTAGCGAGCTGAAGTGCTGGTCACATTTGTCGCAGAACCGATAACCGATGGAGTAGACGGGTTCTAGAGTACCACAAGCTGACCTAAGCTTGGCAAACGTAGTTTAGGGCACCCTCCAGCTAGGCTGAGCGAAAACACACGTAAAGTAGCTAGCACCGCTTGGATGCGTAGAGCTGAAGATCGACTTCAGTGGTGTGCTCTAGGTGAGGCTTATGTTCAGCAGTGAACGAAATCAGACATTCATATGATAATGATTATTTTTAGTGCGTGATAAAAGAGTTTTTTAGTTTTTCTTTTAACTAGTAAAAAATGTAATAATTATAATAATAATAGCTAAAATTAAATAATTACATAATATATAAGTATTATAATTAAATATGGTAATATATATTATATAATATATATTACCATATTTAATTATAATACTTACCTATTAAAAAGAATTAAAATGTTTAGAATTAAAATCAACAAATATTGTAAGGTACTTTGGTGCCATTTTTGAATTTTTGAAATCATTTTTATAAAGCATTCGATACGTCGGAAACTAAAAATCAAAATAAATCCGCGAAAAAAATCGAAAAGATGGTTTTATTTAAAAGTAGCATTTCATTTGCATTATAGTTTCATGTGACACAATTAGGTATAAAAGAATTGTGAAGTTACGTACTGTATTTTAAAACTCTTTATCATACAGATAAAAGCGAAGCGTGATTTTTGATTATCAATGAATAATTTTTTTTTCGTATTGAATACATGTTTGATTTATTATAGAAATATTTTATCATAATAAGCGTTAGTAGGCAACGCTAAAATATTTACTAAAGAACCAATTCAATAAACAATTTCATTCCCATCTAGCTCAAATGATAAATTGTAAGTTCTTTTTAGCACTTGTTTATTCAACAAGCTTTCACTTATTATTTTAGCCCAAATAGAGAAATGAAGATTTTGCGTTGGCCAAATACTTATTATCTATCTTGAATTTTCTTTAAAGTGGTAGAAACTTAAAAGTTATTTTCTGTAAACTCCTTTATAATATCTAAGATACTCTTTTTATATGCCCCCATATAAGACTTTTATCTAAATCGATTTAGCGGCTTCGCTATGAAAGATATTTTATTGCATACACAAAGTACTGGAGTACCAATCTCGTAAACGTTGACGCAAAGCGGCTCTTTGCTACAAGCAATATTAACCAGAAAGTTTAAACTTAATACAACTATTTATTAATATGATATTTCATTATTTTTATATGACTATTAAACTGTGATCACTGCAACAAAGTTTATTGTATAGACAAGTGCATATAAAGCTTTTAATTTTATTTATATAAATTATTTTTAGTCTGTGGGAGTAAATTTCATATGGCATTAACCATATACATATATTACTGCTATAGTGATTTTAAACAGATATTATTTCCTCAAAGATGCCGTCCGCAGCAGTCTCATAGACGCAATCATGGCACGGCTTTGGCTAATGACGCCTTTGATGTACCGCTTACACCGCCAACACTAACGCTTCCACCTTGTTATTAAGTGTGAACTCTACAAATTGTTCACAAATATTTGCCTCTACCTGTGTTTTTTTCGAACACTTGTGAGATTTGCCGTGACTGAATCAAGGACGCCATAAAAGCTGCCCGATTAAGCATGGTGGATTAAAAATATCTACTAGGTATCTCCATCTAATGGATTTACAATGTGAATAAAATTAAATATATTTCGGTTGGTTAAATGTATACCACTATGAGTATAATAAAACGGACAAGACGTTTCGTGCAATAACATATTTTTTTTATTTTTACAAAAGAAATGTCAAATGTTATTGTTTTACATACTTCGTACATACTCGTATGCACCAATATATTTTAATATTCCTGCAGTAAAACACATCTTTATATGAAGATACAATCTTACTTATAATATAATATTATAAATGTGAAAGTTTTGATGGTTGTTTGGATGTTTGTTACTCAATTACGCCAGAACGGCTGAATGGATCTGGATGAAATTTGGCACAAAGATAGATTATAGTCTGGAATAGCACAAAGGTTTCTTTTTATCCCGGAAAATTGTACAGTTCCCGTGGGATAGATTTGTTTTTGTTTTTCTAGAGGCAAACCGGAGTGAAGCGAGGGTGAGCCGCTAGTAGGTATATTATATAATGGAACTTTTTTAATATTTTCAGTAATTGGTTTAATTCTATGTCTACCTACGAGTGTAGTATTCTACTTTTTTTATTCAATTCTTTATAATAAATATAGAATATATGTATGTAGATATTAGATATATTAGTATATAGGTATAAAATTAATTAAGCTAATAAAGACTTGTAACTGAGACATCAGTAGGTGCTAGTAAATGGTATACCTATAGCGATATAGGTACTTTATCGTTATTGATATTGAATTTATTTTATTGTCATTATGATATAATCATAAGTATAGTTATAAAATATATTTATAATATATACATATCTACTAAGTAGGTATGTATACCTACCCAGTACGTACATGCGAAATAAATCTTACGTTGACGTTGCTGCTACGAGTACATACATGTCGTCATAAGGGCAAAAGCTATTGTTCTATGTTTTATATCTTTTTTACTATTTAAACTTTCCTGCCACTTTTAACCTCTTTTAGGGTTTTAAAAAACTCTCTTTACGGTTACCTATATTACTTATGAGATCAGAATATAAATTTCAAATTTCAGGCACTTAGATCTAGCAGTTTGGTTTTGGGTTGATGTATCAGTCGAGAAAGCAATTTAGTGTAGATACATTTTATACAGAATTAACGAAATTTAATTGAAAATGTTCAAAAATTATAGTTTTTATTACAAAATATCATAATCTCAAGCGTTGTACGTTCTTTTATCTTTATCGATACTAATTTTGTTATTTTTATTTGAACGTTTATTGTGCCTGGATGTTCATCCACGTTTTAGCAGGCTATATTGAACTACTCATATAATGTCCTTTTTATTGAGTGTAAATTATTGAGTTTGTATCAACTCTGCCGCCATCACCATCTGCTAGCCTGACTTTTAACACTGCTTTCGGATTTCCCACTTAACTTTTATACTCTCGTAAATTTTTACGTTTCATCACATGCTAAGCGAAATTGATACTTACTAATCGTTATTAAAATTGAAAATTGATTGATTATAAAAACTATATTTTAATATCAAGGGATTTGAGGGAACGTAAACTTTATCTTATGAATGCGTAATAAGAATAGAAGCTTTAATAGTTTGAGAATAGGACCAATTTTGTTTGCGGGTGTTTAAGTCGTATAATTTCATGTATCTCTTAAGTCCGTTATTACAATATTTGTTGTTGGAGGTTATTTATTTGAGTAGTCGACAGTGCCGCGCCTCGACACAAGCTTAGCCGTCGGTCAGTGACATTGATCTCATTACCTTTATATAGCTTGCAGTGTATTTAGACATTTCATAATAATAAGTAAATTGTCCCCACAGAAATGGGATGATAGATCTTTAAGTTACTTTTGTACGCTGCATTCAAATATTGTTTTGTTGACAGCCTTTTAGTTTTGTTATTTGATTAAGCACTCCCGATACAATATTTTACATAAATTAGGAACGTGCATAAATTCATTACAGTTTGCTGAACTGATAATCTGCCCTAGAGCATAATGGTTATTTTTCATATTAATGTATAATTTGTACGTACTGACGGCCAACACATGGCATAACCCGGGGCGGTAAGTTTCTGTGAGGGAGTGTGGATAAATTAAATTAACTTTAACCGATAAAGTTTTAACAAATATAATAAAGTAACAAAAGAAAACATTCAGTATTTTATTGTAAATCAAGAAATTAGATAAAATAATAAAACAATAAGTCAATATATAGTAATTGGTATAAAACTTTCTTTAAATTAATCAATAACGGTAGTGAGGCACGGCCAGTAGTAGAGTTTCGTTGCCGCGGATCCGGTTATTACAGTCGTATAAACTACGGAGCTCTATCTTGATCTAGAGATGGTTGTATTATAAAGTACAAAAGTGCGATAATCTCCTAAAAGGTGTTCGCTGTGTTATGGATAATTAATATTTAGGCCCGGCGGCGCCCCGCGGCGGTTGCGCGCCGCCCGCCTTTGTGGCTCGCCGCTGATCGCAGCATTTGTCATGTTAGCGCGCACCAAAGGTGTGAATGACTTTTTTCTAACCATTATTAATGACAATGATAGAAAATATTGTTTTTTGTTACAACAGTGTTGATTGTTGTCAATTAGTTTTTTGTTGTGCCCTGTTCTGATTGTGAGCGTGGCCGATCGATTTTGATTTGAATTCAATGTTTGGATTAAAATATAGCGAGGTTCATTAAAGCCTTTGATATGATTGACTACGTTGGATTGTATTAACTTATTGATAATATGGCCGCAATGAAGGCTTAGGTGTTTATACATTAATTATTTTATAATAAATTTTAAGGTTTTTTTTTCAACATTAGACATGAATAATAATTTAAAGGAATATAATAGAATATCATTTAAAACATATCTGATGTATAAAAGGTTGCGTGCACTGCGCCATTAGGCGTACGTGCGAAGAATTCTAAAATTAATTTAGCTACATTCATTGTTCATTTCCCAAGTTCTGTTTCAATGTTATTCTTAAAAGAGCTACTTGTTTTGTTACTTAAAGAATGAGTCGAATCACGGACTTAAGAAAAGCTCTCAATCCCGCCCCTCGAGAACAATGAATAATAAGCAGCTACATCGTCTATCCATTTTCTTTCACCCTCCTCAATAAACTGACGCAAACAAAAATTGAAATTGAAATATAAAATCAAAATATTCATTGGAAATTATAGAAATATTACATTAAAATCACGTTTTTGTTTAATTTGTAAGTGACGATGATAATTTAATTTATTTTCTACGACAACAATAATTCGTAATATGTACTTGCTTAGTCGTTGGCTTCATGGAAATGTTGTAGATACCTACGATTTTAACCAATTAGATTAATAAATTGTAAGTATCTTAGTATTGATTAAATACTATTACGAAATACTCGTGGCAGAATGGTGTAATATAATAAATCACAGTAGCATCCTGTGATTATTTTCCGTTTATATGAAACAATAGCTATTATCTCTACGTAATGGATTCTTTGAACCATCAGCAGCGGCTTCCGGCGAATATAGGTCAATTTTATTACATATTTATTGCATTTGCATAGATTTTGTTTTATGACTGAAATTAGAAAACATTGAGACTAAAAAAGATAGGTAGATAAATATCAATGTATATATATATATATATATATATATATATATATATATAATATTTATAGATATCAATAAATAGATATTAATGTATAGTAATATTAATTAACATTTTATTTGGATTAACTTATTCATATTATCTACTGCCTTCACGCATACATTGAAGTATGTGTAAGAGAGCTTTCCAATAGCTTTTGGAAAGCTCTCACTCAAAATAAAGTCAACTTTTTCCAAGTTCTATTTTCAAGAAAAATGATTTTATCTTAAAATCTAAAATATGAATAAAATTATTGCTATAATTAAACAGTAGAAATACAACTATTACTACAAGTTCCATTCACTATTGCATAAAATATATGCATGTACCTACTTCAATTATTATAAAACCTAAAGCCAATCAATCAAACTATCAGGCTGTAAGCATATAAAATGATTATCATAAATCGCTATCGAGATGTGTGTGAGATTTTCCGATGAATTAAACATGTTTTCATTGTGAAGGACGAGGGAATGGGCGTGCGAGCGGAGGCGTCGGTACTATTAACGGACGTTAGAGATAACATCGGCCGACAAACTCGATTAGCGGCCGAAGTGGTTTTATTTACGTGGAGTATAAGTATAGAGTGATAGACGATGTAGAACGATACACATATAAAGAGTTTTTTTTTAATATTCATATTATTAATAATAAATAGTTAAGCTCTACTTTTTAGTTTTCTTAAGTTCGTATGAAAATATTTTCGGCATAATAATATAATTCCAAAGTATAAGTTAATTTACGGGAAAATTATATATTTTTTTAATTATAAATTGGAATCCTTCAAAACAGACATGTTATTCGAACCAAACATAGATCAGCGATCGTTGATGTTATGTGCGTCTTAATACAACACGGTTGATCTATTGCTGATAGTAAGTAATATGTTCTAAAGATAGTGGGTTCTAAATCTAAAATCCCGACTGGACTCTATTAATTGATTAGGCTAAATAAAAATAAACTTTCTTAGCAAAAACTAGAAAAAGCTTTATATCTTACTAGCAGAACCCGCGGCTTTGCTCGCGCTAAAACTACAAAAAATCTCTTATAAGGTAGTTTCATACAAACTTTCTTCCCCTATATTACCCCATTATAGGATGAATTTTAAGAAATGCTAAAACACGTATTTATTTAATTTTATTGAAGAGAATTAATACCAAGTTTCGAGTAATTCTGATCATAAATATTTTTTTGGACTGTATTATAACGTGTTTTCCCGTGGGAAATACATAATCTACCGCGGTAAAAAGTAGCCTATGTCACTCTCCGGCTCTCCAACTATCTCCATACAAAAAATCACGCCAATCTGTCTCTCGAAAGAAGGACAAACAAACAAACACACTTTCATATTTATAATATTAGTATCGATATATCTTGTAACTTAGACTAAATCTTTAGTTGTTACCGACTATTTATCAGTGGGAACCTATATTATTAGGAGTTGAATATCATAACAACTGTCTAATCTGCGCTTAGCTAATCATTATATTATTTGCATATAAATATTTACATGATTTAATTAAGAATATGAGTTTAGATATTCTACAAAAATAAGTATGCTCATAAATAAGACTCACATCATTTTTGTTTCGGATTTTTTTCTAATTTAAATTCTTGTATTAATGACAGAAAAAAAATGAATCTGATCGCTTTAAAATTGTGACAGAGTATTTACGTAATACGTATTTAATAATTGTCATTTTATTTTATTGAAAGATATTTTCGCAGTTATTTTATTAATGTTAAAACTTACAACTATGTAATTCTATAAAAACAATATACATACATATTTATAAAGCATTTCCTTATAATTTTTATGTCGGCTTTATCAAACGTTTTCTGGTGAAATTTGATATTTTCACTGTAAGTCTGAACTCTGATATAGTTAATTACATTTGGCCTTCTAAACAAGGCTTTGTCGGTAAACTGGCTGCTAATAATTCATGTGAGCGGGTAAACTCCTCCGAAATATTATGGTGCGCGTAGACGTATCGGCGCGGGCGCAACCAGAGTGAGATAGCATTATACAAAAGAAAGAAAAAGTATCATCCCTTCGGCCATAATACGTAAAGTTTATAGCTTAAGTACTTCCTTTTAATTTTTTTAAGGCACTATTTCAAATATTGTTTTAATTGATTGCCAGCAGACCATTTGGCGGCTCGAGCTTCGGCAGCGGGATGAGCTTAATTATAGGGGATTATACTAGTTCATATTAATACGGGCTCTCTGATATAGTACATTCTGTTTTTAATCTGACAGTTGTAATTAAGAAAAAATGTTTACATTGCGTTTATATGGACCTTATTACATTTCAACCTTTTAGTTATAATTCAATAATTTTATGCATATCACGGTTTACGTTGCTGTCACATAAATGTTGGGAAAGCGTAAGGTAAATTTTATTGTTCTTATTAGGTATATATTCATTGTAAGAATTTTATGAGCTTAATACTTATATCACCTGCATCTAAAAAAATTGCGTCGTCAAAATATGCTATGTACCTACTTATAATTATTTTGTGAAAATTAAATGCGTGTGAGAAAAGGAGCATTTATCAAACTATGGTAATACCTCTAATCTACATACATATTTTTATTTATTACTAGCGACTCACACCCGCTTCGCTCGGGTTCATCCTTGGGTAACTACCCCATACAAACTTTCATCCCCATTTTCATCAGGAACTATTTCCGTGATAAAAACTGTCCTATGTTCCAGGGTCCCCAGGGCCTACAACTATCTTCTTACCAAACTTATATTAAAAAAAAATTAAGATTACGTTTATAATTATAAAGTTGTAAGGAAAAAGAAAACTGTGATTTCACATTTTTCCGTCAAATATTTTCAATTTTTCTCTTTATAAAAACTGACTTCAAAGGATATTTCAAAAAAAAATTAGACGAATTGATCCAGCTTTTTATGGAAGATAAATCAATTATCTACTATAGTTTAAGAATAAAAGGCAAGAATAAGTAAAGCAAAACAAGAACAATTACAAAGACGATGTTTACTAAGTACCCCTGTAATATAACAATAGACTGAACAGTAATTGGCCGTAAAGCAGTAAGCGCCCGCATCGCGGTGACCGCAGCGCATTCCATTGTTTTACGCGCCACTATAAACTCAGACTCTAAATTTGCGTATCAACGTCGTATTTATTATCTGTATTTTGTCTTCTTATTTGCCTTGCTGTTGTATACAGTTCAGTGTTTATAAAATATACTTAAAAATATTTTTATAATAATTTTATGTTGCTTTTTAACGATGCCAATATCGCTTGAACTCACAGAAATGTTGAGAAGGGACAATCCCTCATTATCTTCAGGATTTCATTTATATAACAACACTCATCATATCCATTTCTACACTAACTCGCTTCGCTTGGGTGCGACCCATATGAAAGTTTTGTCTGCCTCTCTGTCTGTCTGCTAAATTCATATGAAATTATAAACGGTTGGTTGGTACTTATAAGAAAAACACAGTTTTTTTAATTGTTTATCTGGCTGTCTGTTTATTTCAGATAATCTCCGTAACAACAGGACTGATTTTGACGGGACTTTCACGAACAGAGAGTTGATGTTATAAGGAGTAATTTAGGCTACTTTTAAGTTAAGTTTTTAAGAGTTAGGGTCAAAAAAAACTAAAACGTACCTATGTTTTAGTTTTTTTGACTCTAACTCTATATCCATACGAGTATAAGTATCTACTACCCACCGTATATAATTTCATATGCATTTAGTAAAAAACGATTATATTGACATTACAAACAAACGCTTCAATTTTATTTATCTGTAGAGATTATTTCTTGTTTTCTCTTAATCTAAACTTTAAATGTAAATTGTAAACATTATTGTTGGTGGTACATATTGAAACACATTAAATACAAGGTGGTCTGATCGTCGATTTTTTATCTAGTGTGCGGTACAGTACTGTCACGCAGGAACGAGCGTGCCGAATCCTACCACACCTTCCTACATTGTGATCTAGTTGCATTATTTTTGAACATTACTATTACATTCGATGTTCATTGCTTTAGTATTTTATAAAACTGTTTTGTTTGATTGTAACGACATTCGTTCTAACAGTTTTGGTTCTCTTATAAATTTGAAAAGATACTTTAGGTTTATTAAAGTATCAAATTATTAGTTTAATTTTAATTGTAAATGATTTTAAATGAAACTATCTTTTCGGATTTTGTATTTGCTGTTGTATTTTTTTTTGATTCCGACGTTTCAAATTCTTTACAGCAAAATATATGGTCACGGGAGAGATTACAAGAGACGCAGGGGAATCGCTCCCATGTCCATTATAAAATAAAACTGTCAAATATTAGCCTAAAATCTAAATATAGGAAAGTATTAAGTTACCAATTTTCAATAACTAGAAAATTTATATGAGTTATTATTTATCTGAAGGTAATGTATGTAGATACTCAATATACCTAATAATTTTATCAATTCCCAAAGGTGTATGATTTTTTTTTATTTAAGATTTATTTAAATAGACTTTTACAAGAATTTTTGTATTATTGAAATTTACATTTAGGTATTACTTTCTTAAAACGCGAATATTTGATATTTTCAATAAAACTAGCTTTTCTGATTTTTACGCGGATTTATTTTGATTTTTGGTTCCCGACGATTCGGATGCTTTAACTTACCCACAAAATAACAATTTTATGGGTATGCTGTCTGTAACAGCTATATAATGCCTTTGAGACGTCTAAAACCTAAATCTCTTCTGTGACCATGATTTGCAGTAAAGCATTCGAAACGCCGGGAACCGAAAATCAAAATAAATCTGCGAAAAAGTTCAAGTTTATTTAAAGTTTAAATTTAAATTAAATATCAGTGTAGTAAATCCGAGAAAAAGCTACAGGCTGGAAAGGCAAGGCTGCTAAGGAGAGCCGGTGAGAAACTCACCAACTACACTTTTAAAATTGATATCTGTATTAATGAATTATTCTAGTATTATGTAAGTATCAACTAAATTACCGTGTAATCTAAAAATATTTTATGTCTTGTAATATTATAAAGTATAATTTAATGTGAATAAAAGAACACTCGTTAGATTTATCACTTTATTAATACAAATAACTTAGTAATATAGTTTCTTACAACGCTAAAACGTTTTAAATTGTAAGTTTACGTCACATATTTACACTGTGTAATGTGAACGTATTTGTGATATTACAAAAAGGAACCTTTTGAATATTTTTTTGTTTAAAATATTACCTATAGATGGCAAATGTATAAGTAGGTATCTACTAAATATTTCGACAGACAATATTATTGAAATAATGGAAGGACGAGTTGTTTGGAAATTTTTACAAAATCTATTGTTTTATGCAAGAAGTTGCCGTTGTCAAAGACTGCCATGTGACTATCATTAATGTTCAATTAACTCTACAGTACTTTTTGACTACACGGAGCGCCATATTAAGGTCAAGTGCAAATATGCAATACCAATTAGCTCAGAAAACGTCCAGTAATGTAATTATTTAAACATTAATGAATTTACCTGTCTTAAGTAAGTATTGAACTAATATATGTTTTTATAACATTCTATTCCATTTCATCTGTAACACTATTTGCTCTCAACGATTCATTCCTTTAATCGCTGAATAAACTCATTATGTTTGAATACGACTACCCGCCGAAAGGCTCCTTTCAAACGATATTAAACCGCATTATCCGCATTTATTCTCTGCCTTGATTAGTACCGTATCATTTAGTCCTGTGTTGTAATTAAAAAGTCACGATTAAAGTTGAACTTTATTATTTTTTCGATAAAGCTTAATTTTCACTGCTATAATGCGTTGGCGGCGCCTTTGACCGCGAGAGATGAAAAGTACCGCGCGCGACCATTTATCATTGACAAACACAATTGTATTGGGACACGGCTCAAGAAATTGGACAAACAAACTGGAAATTTAATTTTTGTGGCTTTGCTATCTACGAACTACCTGTTCTATAATCGTTTTATAGAATAAATCTACTAGAATGCATTTTTTACATGTATTATAAATTATAATTGAAGCTTCTCAGATTGATATTCTGCTCAGAAATAAGTTCAATAAATATGTAAACAAGTATTTAAGGATATAAATTAAATATTTTACTGAGCAAAGCGTATTACACTGAAGAGTTCAAGAGTTTCTTGTTGATGGAAATGTGTGGAATTAAGAAATATTGACTCATATGCGGGCTTTCTATGTTGTTATGTTAATAAAAGAAATGTAACTTTGATATTTAAAAGAGCAACTGTTGAGTTTCTTGCCGGCTCTTCTCAGCAGATTTGCTTTCCGAGTCGGTGGTAGCTTCCTTATGGACTGACTACACCGACACTTAAATTAACAGTTCAAAAGTGCTTGTAATAAATCTAATTGAATAAAGTTTATTACATTTTATTTCATGTATAATTTATGTAGGGATGAAATTCTCGTTATGATTATCTACTTGCTATTATTAGGTACAACCTTGCACCTAATAGCAATACTTAATTGTTCCTGTGTAAATAGTACCTATATAGTATCTACAAAATATTTAAATGATGTATGATGATGGTAGTTGTAACTTAGTGTGGGGTACACTCATAGGTAGAACATTGCAGTGGGAAAAGATTGGAGAAAAAAATCTAAATATTTAGGTAGTAGGTACTACCTACTTATCATCATTTCAATGTTATCGATATTCAAATACCTATCTATATATAGTATCCATTTTTATATAGACTTTTTATAAGATTTAACAAACCGAAGGTTCATTATATACCTATGTATCAAATAATTGAAGTAAGACTTGTTTGTTTGTAATCAAAAAACTATTGAATTGATTTCAGTAGGTATTCTTCACCATTGGGCTACATGAACCAAAATGAACGTACCTACCTACGCTTTATTTTTCTTTGAGTATTACTTCTCAGCCGGAAATACCACAATATTGTCATTAGTATATAATATAAAATTATAATTTGTTCAGCTCAATGCCTGAGATGCCAAAGTTTGATAAGTTTAATTATTGTGAGTGCTAAACAGTAGTTTTGTCATTCTCTGAGAAATTTATTCAGGATCTACCGCCTACTTATAGGAGATGTCATCTCTTCTTGATCTAGGAGTCTGTTAGGAGGAGCCGGCGCCCCGCCTTTCGCGCCACAGCCAATAGCAACTGCGCTCAGCTTTCCCCTTGATACTAGGGATACCATACTTTTATTGAACATTCAAGCGCAGTGTAAATTAAATTTAAAATTTTACTTATCTTTAAGAGAATACGTGTGTGAGTGCAAGCGAAGCTCGTTAAGATACGTTAGTTCTTCTCACATCTATCCGCATATACTTTGTCATAACAAAAAAAAAACAACCTTGATAGATACCAGGGAAGATCAACTTTAGTTAAGCATAAACTTCTATTTATGGAAATTAATAAAGAATATATGGAGGTAGGTAAATTAAGTCGCCTATAGGTTTTTGCTTATTTTGGCTATGCAAAGAGGTACCTATAACTTTATATGTCTTGTATCATATATGGTTATTGTTTGGGACAGAGTTTTGATTTGATTTTATTAGGCAAATTTTAACAATCTTTTTATTTTAAATCTAGTTTAATATTGTAAGCGGTAAAAAAATATGACATTACCAAACTATTTTTTTTAAATGACCCAAGGAACTGTTTGCGATGCGATGGGAATACAATATCTTTAGTTTTTTAAATTTTTGTTTGTCTTTCTTTTGAATCACGTCACTCGAGCACTACAACAGTTGATAAAATTTTGTCGAGACATTCATCCTGTTCAGGCATTTAGAGTATGTAGCAGTTAGATGCGAGTTAGAATAAACACAGTTCTCTGCAGATTTTGTAGGCTTTTAAAATGGCCGTATTCATGTAAGATCAAATTAGTAGCTAATTTGATCTAAGGTATGTCAGTATAGGTACTATTATTTTTTCTAGGTATATAGGTATAGATACAGCCTGCACTACCGCTAATGCGCGTTCTTATACAAAGTGGCGGTCATGTTGAATGGTAGGCACCCACCTATATAAATAAGTAATTTCATCAGGCTAGTTAATAAATATATTTGTCCTTTGAAATTTGTATTGTCATGGTAACTCTACTCTCTGCTCTTTCAGTTCAAGGTGATTCAAGATGATTTAAAAATTATTTAGTATACCTACTGTTATCTATTTTTTTATCTAGGATAGTAGAATTGACGTTCAATTAGAATGAGACGAAACTTACAAATAGAATAAGTTGTGCTGTGGAGCTGTTTATTAATACATTTCATATGATGTGTACCTACTCTATCATATGTATAAGGAATAAAGATAAAAGCTTATCATTGCTGTATGCGTGACATTAGCTTTGTTTTAATCTTTCGTAACTAATATGCTATACCAGCAACTTGCCCTCATTTCGCTCGGGTGAGTCCCTAGATGATGATGAGATGTTGTCCTACTATTCCATCGTGGAAGTTAGGGCTGCAGCAGTAGTTTTCCATGCCCTTCTATCTTTAGCTACTGCTTGGACATGGTTTCACGAGATTCCCACCCTTCTAAGGTCTGCCTCAATGGACCTCCAGCAGGTGTGTTAGTCCCTAGGTACGTTTTTTTTTGTGCGGACCCTTAATTCTTTTTCTAAAATAAAAATAGCCTAAGTTACTCCTTATAACGTCAGCTATCTGCCAGTGAAAGTCCCGTCAAATTCAATAGAGCTGTTTCAGAGATTAGCAGAAACAAACAACGTACAGACAAAAATGTTTAAAATTGAGTTTTTGTTATAAGTAGGTACCGTATATTTCATAGGCTTTAAGTAAAAACCTGATAATTTGACATTACAAAGAAACACTTTAATTTTATTTATCTGTAGGTAATAGGTAGGTACATATAGATAAAATATTAATAATACACCTATAACCTATTAATCGTTTGCAATTAATGAATAGATATTATATATCTATAGTGAAATGTCCTGTGTGTTAATGTCCCAACATGGTGAAATGCTCATCACTTATTCTAAATATTAAAAATCCGGAGACTTAAGATACCACAACAGAAAATTATTATCTGTTTTCAAAATACGACAAACACGACGATGATCCTAAAATGTTGTTTTTGATTAAAATAATAAGATCGAGGCATATTAGTCAGATCGTTATATCGCTGATGAAATTTTATAACAACTTTAATTGGATTCCTTCGAAATTGGCGTTTGAACTTTTAATAATAAATATTTATACAGGTAGCAGCTGCATTAAAAACCTCGCTCGATACCCAAATAATAATTAGCCTGCCCTTAGCACCTCGGTCAGCTCCGAGAAAAAAGACCGCATCCAGTCTCGCTCGCAAACCAACACAACCTGTAATTTGGAAATTATTATCTAACACATTGTGCCTTTCTGGTTATCCCGCCGGTCAATTTGCCGTTTTTATGGCTCCCACAAAGCCGCGGCCTCTAATTATCTCTGCCACGATCGTGGCCCGAGGCGAGATCGCATCTCTCGACGATGTCCAAAATTAACTTTAAATCCAACCAACAAAGTTGATATTCACTAAAGCATATCTCGATGCCGTGTTAGATACATGAGAAAATATGTTTAAACTAACGCGTCTGCGCGAAATCTATTTGTTTTATGACGAACTTTCGTAATTGCTTTACAATTATAATAAGATAGCAATTATGTACAGAAAACAGCGATTTAATCAAAACACGGTAGTCATAAGCGGACATTGAATAAAAAATATGCCTAATATATAGGTATTTATTATGGAATTAAAATGATGCAAGCCGACGTTATTAAAACGGGCTCGGTCTCCACCTTGTTAGTGAAACTCCTCCATAAACGGTCACAATTTCCTTTTTATACGCTTTTATCTATGCATGATGTCGTAAATTTAAATTATAATCGGTAAGTTTTAACGCCCAATTTTAAATTAGATATACGAACGGACCTGAAAAATAACAGAATGCTCATTTGGAAGCGTTTTCGGCACTCGACGGTCATATTCTATTAGAAAGGTCTACTAATAAAATTAATTTATTTCTCGATTACAACAGTAACACGAGTTCAAAAGCGAGCCGCGGCAACATGTCATTAATCATATTAATTAAGATGAGGCATGAGTGCTTTTGTTCGTGGTACTTTAGTTAAACGAGTGTTCTTTACGCTCGTTCGAATCGCTTTAGAGTCGATGTCGTGCTGCAGATTTAATAACATTTATACTCGTAAATGTATGCAAAGCGACGGACGGAGGGCGCCCGTCGCCGCGATGCAACTCGCATGTGATACGCTGGACAGTCCGATGGCAATACGATTGGTTAGAGACAATATTGTTTAATGATAGTATGTGATTTCTTGCGTTTTACTTGTTATTACAGTGTTATGTGTGTAATCGAATAATTGCACATAGAAGTTTTTACTAGCGGCGCGCGGTCACGATTTGTTGCGCTCGTGTTTTTCGATCCTATTGTTTTTATGAGATTGATGGATCGAAAGTGCGTTAGAGTACCTACCTACGACGTGACTAACAATAACGGGCTAAAATTAATATTTTAATTGAAACTCAATGAAAGTAATTGAAAAAATATTCAATTAAGTTGAACAATATCACTTGATACTTGTATGGAGGCAAATTATTGTTCATACTATAGAACTAGCGAATCACTCGATAGTTATGGCCATGCCTGCTACTTACCATGGATGTCAGAAAGTTTTCAAATAATATTTATTTAATTGATTTCTTTTTATAATTAATATTTATGTAATTTTTTTATATACATACATGCGACTTAGTTGACGATGTCCCTAAGGATTAATGTTGTAGGAACACATAGAGGACAAACATACGAAGACAAATAAAATTTTGAATATTAAATACCTATACCCATTAAAACAGTTGACAATAACAATGAGTTGCGATAAAATTTCATAGTATCGTAAATACTTATTATTATTAGGAAAACATAGATAATTAACATAGAGTTATAATAATATTAAACGTATCAAGTAATTTTATATAGAATAATAGTAAAATTGTAACTAAGCCGAATCTGTACATTAAATATTTTTTTGGAAAATCTTATTGTAATAAATATTATTATCGATACAGAGGCCGAATCTATAGTTTTTAGAATTTTTGTCTGTCCGTTACCGCATCACAGAAAAACCACTGGAGGGATTTTGATGAAATTTGATATGATGATAGCTGGTTATCCGGGTCAACATATAGGATACATTTTACCGCGGGAAAATGTCTCATTTCTGATAAAAAAAATACAAAAACTGCGATGTAAGAATATACTAATATGTAAAACCTAAGAATTTGGTTTTTGGTCATCTGAACGCGGGCGGAGCCGCGGGCAATGATAGTATAGAATAAAAATATACCGCTAGCTTACGGCAAATTGTGATGAGTTTTCTCAGTTTATAAGCACTAAGACATAATTGTCTATTGTAATTATGTTTTCTTATAAAATTTAATAGAGTTAAATCGACAAAAAATTCTAGATAAAATGATCCGATAAAGTAAATGTTAATATAAACAATTGGTTTGAGGCTATTTTTTTTGGTTGAAACACTGCGGTACCTGCTGTATTAGATTTTTTAAATAAAGTGCTGTTAATATATTAAGCGTTGAGTTTTTACTGTAGAAAATTGGACAAGTGCGAATCTGATTTGAGCATCGTAAGTTCTGTACTAAATTACATTAAAGTTTTATGTTAAATTTCTTAATTTATTAGGGTAAATGTAAAATAAAATATTCACGCATTAATATTTGGACTACAATATTTATTTGTAATGAAAGCAAAATAAATTTATATTTTTGAAATATAGGTACCTACTATTGAAAACGAAGTTTATTTCACTGTCGTTAAACGAGCAAAATATATAGCATGATAGTTATGTAAATATTTTTTGTATTTATTTATTATACTTAATTTGGAAATGGCTTTAAATTTTAATTTGGATTTTAATATTAATCAGAGGGAATTTTAAATTTATCTAAACATTTTTTTATAAATTCAACTAAACAATTAAATTATTAAATAAATTAAATTTAAAAAAAGAACCCTAAAAATGAGTAAACTTTATCTAATAGGTAGGTATATAAAATTCTCGTGTTACAGTGTTTGTAACAAAACTCCTCCGAAACGGCTTGACCGATTTTTATGAAATTTTGTATGTAGTATATTCAGTAGGTCTGAGAATGGGACGTAAACAATTTTTCTTATTCCTAAGTGATAAGGGTGGTCCACCCAAAAAAAAAAATTTTTTGGACATTTTTTTTATTTTAATTTTTTTATGATTCGGTATTAAAAGTTTAAAATAACCTAAATTCTCACTAGGGACGAACCCGAGCGGAGCGAGGTGAGTCGTTAGTTACAGTATAACAAATTACAAAATAATTTCTAATCCTTTTAATTTGGTACAATATAACACAACAATATTTCATAGCACGGAAAGATGAAAATGTGAAATGATGAAAAAAATGATGAAAATGTGAAATTTTATTCATACCTTTAACATAAATCCCTTATTTTAAAATAATTCGTGTAGAGCAAAATTAAAACTTTTTTTTCCATTTTCTCCATCCTAGCAATATTTTAAATTCATTTATTATAAAACATTTACTAAGTTATAATTTTTTTTATAATGGCCTCTTAAAAACCTTAATTTTGAAACCTCACTCTGGTCTGGAAGAAAAAGAAATTTAAGACACACTTTGCTCTTGAAATCCGCCATTTTGATTTTTAATAATATTTACATAGCCTGGCTATAACACTCGCGTTATCAATACGAATCTAACGATGTATGTCGTTATGAATAATTAAAATTGATTAAGTCGTTTAGTAATTATGAGGGAAGACAGAATACATATAAATTACACACATATACAGGTCAAACACATAACCTTCCCTTGGGCTTCGCTGCAGCCGGGTAAAATATACTTATGTAGGTAGCTATTTATATTACTTATATATTAAATTATTATTTAATAATAGGTATTTACATAAACTTCACAAAATTACTACGAGTTTGTGACTGGTTTTCTATAAAAATACGTATGTATTTCATTCCTTTTACGAAATCTTATATCTGCGTCTGATTTTACTATCTGTTTCTCATACGACGATATCATGCCTACATAATATGTTATTCTATGTAAGTAATTGTCTAGTTTGATTACCAGACAAATTGACGCATCACGCTCGTCACCATTATTAATTCAGTAAAAATTATGCCTTCATCGACTGTCGACATTCCCTTCCCTGTAATTATATCGTATTGCGGACGTTATATGAACAATCAGTTTAATACGATTTCTTTGCTGTAATTGTGGGAACATATGTGGTGTATTAGATAATAAGCAATTGATGGACACTTAGCAAATAAGATTATGATATGCCATCCCACCGGAGTATGAGAGTGACAGGAATAGAGAGTGCACGTTGTGTCTGCGCGTACACTTGTGCACTATAATATCTCCTGCGCAGTTGGCTAGTCTCGATGAGATTGGCCGCCGTGGCCGCAATCGGTTAGGAGAACATCATCATCAAGATTATGATGTTCATGTACTTTCAGTTGTGAATCTTACCTCCTTAACGTTTTTTCGTTGTGTAGTTATTACTTTTATATAAGGGTTCTTTGATCAGTATAATGTGCTACTGTTACTTAAGTATAATTATTTTTCAATTTTAAACAGACTTAATGGAGTTACATTTGTAATTTGCCTTTTCAATTCAGGTAGACGTTTCGTTAAAGCCTTTTGAAAGTGATTTGCAATAATTTCCGAATTTCATTATTACGTTGTCTTTTTTTTAAATCGCTTAAGACATGACTACGATTGAAATAATACTGTAATAAATTATGTATAAAGTTGACTTTTGTGTGTGGTTGTCTTTAAAAGTTAAGGAGATGAAAGATGCCGCTACTATTTGTCACTACTTTCAGAACGAGGTGGCGGAGTGGTGCGGCCCGCCCTGTTTGCACCTCGGCCTCAGGGCCCGAGTACGGTCCAGTTTTCTTTCTTGTTTTTCCTCGCGACCTGGTGGAATGCGAATTTAATGATTTCTTTTGGGACCATGGCCAATCGTTCCGTCATCAAAATAAAGCGTCTTTTCAAGCGCGTGGGTGATGTAAAAACACTAATGCAAAATCTTAAAGGCAATTGAAATGGGATGTCTCGAGATTAGCACATTTGAGAAGATGCTTTTTATAGTCAACGATAAAGTTTATTCCTAATCTGTTTGAAGTAATAAATTTCATTAGTCTTGAGCCCCGTTTTTGGCCCCTCTAGTTTTGGACTATATATTATAATTAATTAGTTTTTCTCAAACCCATACTAATAGTATAGACGTGAAAGTGTGTTTGCATGTCCTTCTTTCACGTCGAAACAGAGTGACGAATTGGCGTGTTTTTTTTTGTATGGAGATAGGTAGTTGGAGGGCTGGAGAGTCCCCCCCCCAACGTGCGTTCACCTTGTCGTGGTGGGGGGGCTCAGTAGTGCCCGGCAACCCAACCGGGCGCGAAGCCAAGAAACGCACAGGGAGGTGGCCCACTTCGTTGGGCGGTAGGAGGTGGCCCTCTTCGGAGGGCGGTGTGCCGTGCGGGTTGCTCCTGGTACTTCTCTGATAGCAGAGTGGACTGTGGAGCAACCCCGTGGTTGTTGTGGTCTGCTTCGGCAGACCTGCCGTCGGGGCGTCGTGGTTGAATGCGTGAGCGATCCTGCGGCGCCCCATTAAGACGGGGGAAGGCTTTGTTGGGTTTTAGTGGGTAGTACTGGCGTTGCCGGTGAGTCCCACACCTCGTGCGTAAATGCATTTCCCAACGTTAAAAAAAAAAAAAAAAAAAAAGGGCTTGAGAGTGACAAAGTGGGAGTGGCTAATTTCTAAGGTAATTCAGATATGAATCCCAGCTGACGTGTTACATAAAACTAATTTGAACCGCTTCAGGGGTATCAACCTGTGTGGCCTCCTTACTCATACCAAAAGTACAGGATTAGTTGATAACATAATTGTAGAAGAGACACAATAAAGTAAAACTCTTAATGAAGGTCAATATTATACATGTACTAGCGGCTCACCCACGCTTCGCTCGGGTTCGTCCCTAGGTACGATTTAAATAGATATAAATAGTTATCATCCAGCGTTAACTATGTAAATGTTTTTTTTTTCGTTATTTTTTCGATATTTTAATACTTATTATCGTATTCCGGACTAAGAGAAATTCAAAAAATCAAATATCATAAAAATTGGTCCAGCCGGCCTTGAGTTATAAATGGTGTAACTAACACGACTTTGTTTTATATATATAAATTATATAAACTATACATTTCAAATTTTGTTTTTATGTGCGCAGTGCAAAATTATATCCAAAAGTAAGAAGAATTGTCAATGGTCTGCAATCATTTATTTGAAATTAGATACCTACTAGTTAACTTTAAAAAGGGCGGACCATCATTTATTTTTCCCTATTTACACCTTTTAGGAAAATAAATTTCAAAAAACTTCCCTTTGTGCTCAATTATATAAGAAAAAACTTTGTACATATAATATAGGTATGTCAATGGCCATCTTCGTTATACATGGAGTTCATGTGTTTATATTTTTAAAATCACTTGGTGTCTTTAGGATTCGTGTTTTCTATTCGTGAATCAATAAAAAATCTCAGTAAGTATCTTATTTTAAGAAAAGTGCCTATAGGTATTTTTCTTTAAAAAAGCCAGTTTTATATAATTCTTTCGAGGCATAATTGTTAGTTAATTAAGGCTTGTTATAGCACTAAAATCCACTGCTATGTCGTAAAAAATATTTGTGATATGCACAAATCTGTTTACTGCACATTTTTATATAGAATTAGCATTCCACAGCATTGAATGCATTGGAGAAATAAACATTATTACAATAGGCAGAGTTTGCGTGTGAATAGTGGGTCACGCTAAGGGAACCATAAACGAACAAAGAGGAAATAAAGGCATTATGCAATAAAAAAGTAAATATTTACAAGTAGGTAATTCTGATATTTTTTTCTCAAAAGTTTATTTGCTTTATAAGCACGAGTTGTATAAGTAATTCTATATGTTCCTATGCAGTAGGAAAGTTATGAGTAAAAACCAACCCAAGTAAAATGTAACATTTCATGCAGTCCCTGTTCCAAGCTATAAATAGTAATTAAATAATTCGAGCCACTAATACATGCCGTGCGTGGATCAAACCGGCCATTAGACGCAAAACGCCAAATCATTTACAAGAAAGCGAGAACCCGCCTTGTACTATTTACATAATTTATTCAACACACAACCCAAAAGTTGCAACTCGTTTTGTAACATTTAATCTATATAAATTAATTTATAAATACTAATCTATATAAATAACAATGAATCACTAACATAACTTCGGATAATTTCGCGCATAACTTCGGATCGACTGCACCAAATTGGATAATTCTTTTTTTTGTGTTTGTTATTGTCAGGAAGTTTTGTATAGAAAAAAAATTAAAAGATTTTTTTTACTAAGATGTTTTTTAAATCTCATGATTTGAAAAGTGAGTGTGTGAAATACTTTTATGAGGGTGAGAATGGGAATGAAAGTTTGTATTGGTAAGCAAGCTATGGACGACTCGAACGAAGCGAGGGAGAGTCGCTAGTATATACATATATCAAACTAACTAAATATATAATATCACATACACATATACACATACGCATTTATTTTATTTAGTTAATAAATTATTACGTTAAGTTGAATCATTTAATTATTTACATAAAAAAATACATTTACTAAGTATAAAAATAGCAAAAATCTGTTCGCGATTGGTAAAAATATCATATTTGTATTACTAAATTTCAACCAGGCTTTTTATAATATTAGAGTTACAATATTGTTGTTTCAAAACTACGATACAATCTTCCAAATATTAAACTAATATTTAGGCAACGCTTTGCCCGAAGCCGCCTCATTTGAATAAGGTGCGTTTTCCTCAATATTACTATGAACAATTATTGAAAATAAATTTTCAAACCAGCTGTTTTACATAATAAGAATTTTAGGTTAACATTACATTAAATCTCAAGAGGTGTGGCAGGAACGAAGAAGGTACCTTCCGTTGTCTATCCTTGGCTCATAAATTAGGTCATAAAAATTGTCAACTGTCATTCTGAAGCTCATCGAAGAAAGGCCTACGTAGAGCGCATACGATTTTTTTACAACATATATTCCATAACACTTATGATCGCTTGATACTTATGATGACATCACATAGAGTACATTTAGTAAATAATAAAATGTCGCGTCGGTTAAAATATTATTTTTTTCCGTCGAGCACTCATTTGCCACGTGTGCCGAATATAAACGAACCATGGATTCCAAAACAGCTAGAACGATTTTAATGAAATTTTCAGATAATTATCAGTAAGGGGTGATCCTGTGAAGTTTGGTAGCGATCGGAAGTTTTAATGCGGACGAAGCCGCGGGCTCTTATAGTATTTAATATATGGTGAGTCATGTCACTAATAAATGATGTGTTAAGACGTATCGCTTGTGGGAGTCAATAAACCAATATAAAATTTAACTAGACATAGCACCTATTAACTACTATATAAGGTACTAATAAATTGATTTTATTATTAACCATTGGGCATCTATGTAAAGTTACTTAGTGGCGATGCCTTTGCAGATTATGTAGGTACTATGCAGTATTGTATGAATATATCTGTCCATGTACCTAATCCTAAAATATTCGTAACATTTACTTTACCCTTTATAGTTATTGTTAATACTAAGTTTAATTAATATAGTTTACACACTGTAGAATATTTTTTTGTTACTTTCATAATATCCCCTTTCAAAATTTTCTATCACATTACAATTAAATTTTAAAATAATAATTATAAAATTAATATAGCACGTTTAAATGAGACACATAAAACTGTGTTGCAAAATAACTGTTTTTTTCTGCTGTGAAAAAAAAAACATGAAAATAAATAAGTTTTTTTTCTGAACCATGTTTTTTTTTCAAGAGTAGAGAATTCAAAATTATTAAGGTAATTACCGTAAAAGATTAATACTTAAGAATTCATATTAGAGTTTTCTCTTTATTTTTAAACCTACGATACACTCTTTTTTGGTTGAATAGTGTCAAGCTTACATTCCGACCATTACAAGGATGACACTAGTGTAGGTGGCAGTTGGCTCTAATATCTGATACGTACTGAAAGTGGTTATTTAATTGATTCATATACGATACTTTATTTAATTTCAATTTTAGTAAAATGTAAGAAAGTAGAAAACATACTTCAATAAAACATTTAATTTGTACACTTTTTCTGAAAAAAAAAAAACAAAATTAGAAAAAAACAAAGGTAGGTTATCTACCTTTTTTTCATGTTATTTTTTTTCAACATAGTGAAAAAAGCATAGTCGTTTTTTCATGTTACATCACTAGCTGTGACACATACGAACATATTGTATACATACACAGACGGACAGACAGTTCATATAAAATTATTTATAAAGAAATTGAAAAATTACTTTAAAATATTAATGAATATTGTTTTATATGATATACATACATATACATCTGATTTATGGTTATATCAATACAGCAACAGTGAAACAGAGGCTTAAGTCCATCGGGTGTAGCTGTAAATATCATAATCATAACCCATTAGCCGTCTAATACTATGTCTCTGCGGCTGCCTTTGAACGCGGTTTATTACGTCGCTATTAATTGAGAACGACCTTAGAATTAAAATTTAAAATACTTGAATGCACTAATGAATATCGCAAATACCTATTTCACATACAAAAAGGCCAGTGAGTACGGCTTATTATTAGTCATCATCATAATATCATTTAATCACGTATCATGTATAAAATTGATACATATTTTATTAGAAATGTAATGGTATGGAGAAAACGTCAATAGCAAGCATATTGTTTTGGTTATTATTAAATTTGTTTTTTTTAAAACTTCACATATACATACTTATGATATAAAACAACTGGTTTATACCGAAAGTACCTATGTCCCCTATATTATCTTAAAACCTCAGCACCTATCAGTTATTTAAATTGCGAATTATATGATTTTTACTAACTACCTATTATATGAAGGAATCGTTTTGTAACCTCGTAAATATGTATTTGAAGATTTTTAAATGTGGATGCGATATACTTGTCTTCTAAAATTCTAGGTAATTTATTCTATTTTCAAAATAAGTTAACAAAAAAACAATTATCCTGTAAATTTGGCAAAACTAAATCTTATACTTACGGTATTTTTAACAGTTATAAATTCACAATCTCCAGAATATTGGGAACTCATTAGTCGCGTGTCACACGGCACATTTTTTACAATTATCAATAGTGTCTTGCAAGAGAGGCGGAGAGCCGCCCCTTTCCATTGGCCAATCAGATGCTCAGAGCTGTCTCCGCGATATCAGTGCAGGAACGTTGGCAACGCGGAACAGGTCAGTGTGTGGAGTAAGTTATAGAAGAAAGGTAAATATTTACCCACGATATAAAATGTTGCAAAATGATAAGTAACTTTTCTATAAAATATGCAAAAAATCACGTCAAACTGTTGTTTTATTGCTGCATGAAAGAAGGACAAACCAACAAAAAAACTATTGTATTAATATATCATATGTCACAGGTCTTATCAAAGTCTAAAATATAAATCGGATATTTTAGAATGTTCTATTCAAAGAACTTATGAACTACTAGCATTGTCCGCGGCTCCACCCGCGATCATATGACTAAAAACCAAATTATTAGGTTTTGCATATATTAGTATACTCTTACATTGCAGTTTTTGTATTTTTTCTCAGAAATGAGACTTTTTGTTACCCGAATAGCCAGTTATCACCATACCAAATTTCATCAAAATTCCTCTAGTGGTTTTTCTGTGATACGGCAACAGACCGACAGACAGACAGACAAAAATTATAAAACTATAGATTCGGCCTATGTAGGTATCGATAATAATGTTTATTTCAATTAGATTTTCCAAAAAATATATTCGGTTTAGTTACAATTTTATTAGGTAGGTATATGTATAGATTAAATTATATAGAACTTGTAAAAAAGCTTCTTATTAAGTACCTACTAGATACATAGAAGTTTAGTATTGCACATACTGAGAAGATAATTATATTATTTTACACGAAGAGTATTTAAGAATATTTGCCTCGAGTTTTGAGGCCACTCTAACAATCAACAATGTTTTGGTTAGTCATTGAATTTTCGTCGCTTGTGCCGTGGCCCAAGGATAGTGCACCGCTTTCATAATCCAATTAAGAATAATTGTCGATAAACTGACAGTTCGAATATCGATTTATGTGGTGATATTTTAGCATCGTTAATAAATTTATGCTTGTTCTTGCCGTTTGATTGCACGCCATGTTTCCATTAAGTTTATTCGATTCGCACTCCAAATGGATCTTATATTGGCAACTGTGTCTCAACAATGATCAATGTTACTTTAATAATTAAACATGCTATTGCTATGTAATTATACACATAAAATAAAATTGCTGTTATATCTACATATTAATTAACTTTTTAAAGATCAAGATGATATATTTTTCATTCTGTGGTATTTTCATGGAAAATTAAATGTTGCTTTTTTATCAAGTAGGTATAAAAATAATACCTACAGCATTTTTTACAATAAATAATAAAAGAATGTTGTTTTAGTTAGGTTGAAAACTTATGTAATAATGTCAGGTGACACCAGATTTTTTTTTTCAATACATTAGATTAAAAAAAACATTCTGAGGAATCGGCTAGTAACTACAAGTAATTTTATATATTTTATCGCATTCTGTATATCATGTTGAATCTAAAATAGGTACATCTATACAGAAACAATAACAGTTTTCAAAACATATTTCACAAAGAAGTATGATCTCTTGCTTTATTGATTTCGTGGGACATTGCACTTGAGTTACGAGGCGCGACGCTGCAGTGGATCTTGACGCACGACGCAACGGCCATCGATTTATTATTCGAATATCAGGGCTTTTTAAACTGTGGGTCGTGGACTTTATCATTAAATTTATTAAAATGGCATAGATATATATACAAATATTAAGCTTAATTCATGTACGAGTTAGTTTTCCAATAGCTTTTGTATATTAATGTTTTTGATTCGGACCGCACATCAGTTATTTGGGGACCTCTGCGTTAGATCGTTACCGCATAACCATCACGGCGAATAGCAATAGTCAATTCCATTTTTATCCTCATATTTCACTGTGACAAATTCCAGGACAAGTTGCATACGATGCGGGTTCGCTTTATTGCGACACGTGAAATATTTGTTTTGGTCTTTTTCCTGACCGCAATGTATTGTTTGGGATAATACTTTTATTTTATGTCGTTTTCATTTTTATCATGGCTGCACTAAGATCTATATACCACCAATAAAACAGCATCCGTCTCTGAAGCTGTTAACACAAATAGACAAGATCTATGCAGATAAGTTGTATTTAATATGTTTGTTTGTACTTTCGATATAGGTATATGTAGGTTCCTACCTCCTAACTTGTAAATCTTTATTCTCATCCGACCACATCATATATTGTACATTTAATTGTAGTTAGATGATACGGTTATTTAAAATTTATTTACTGTATTGTTATCTGTTATAAATGTACGTATTTTGTCATGCGGGAAGAGCTGTCACAACAAACATTATTTCATTTTATTTTATGATTTTGTAACGCGCCGTGAAGCGAGTCTGTCGTTTTGGAAAAAGCTTTTATTCAATAACAAAGATTCACAAAGTTTTACCGCTTTAATGGAAGGGTAAATGTCCCTGTGTAATGTCTAATGTTACGTTACTAATTGTACACAATTTCCTTTCAATGAGTACATTAATTGTTCTATCATCATTTTTCTATTTTGTACGGCATAAAAATTGTACACTACGGTATTAAAATAGAATATTAAAACTATGGAATCCTTTTCGGTAAAACTATAAAATCTGTAGAGGAATTTAAAAGACGAAGCGTGAATCCATAAACACATTCCGCACTCCCGTCGCATGATAAAATCCAATAAAAACCGTAAATATAAGATGATCCGGAATAACAACAGTATTCAAATTTCCGATTCGTCCCGGATTTAAACAAAAACGATCTATTTAATAGTGAGATGTTCGAGGCACGGGTATAATTGTGTATCAGTGCATGTTCAGAGTAAGCTTCTCGAATCGATTCGGTAATCGAGACGCGTGCTCTGCCGTGCCGTCGAATCTCGTAGTTGTCGGAATGAGTTCCGGTTGGTTTAGTTTAGTAGATCGTGTTAGTAATTTCGATCGTTCGCTCAGACGTGGACAATATTGATCGCGTGCCGATGGCCACACAAATTCTCCTAAAAAACATTCAAGAGTTGAAATTTTCATTTGAATATTTTGGAAAGTATATTTAATCTTATTGCCAGCTTCCTTTGATGTACCGCTAGGTACATAATAAATATTTTAAATAAATTGTTAACATTATAATAGCCTACTAAACATTAACCGTGTTAGGTAATAAAATTTTATTGGTTGCTATAATATATATACATATAGGTATTCATTTGGTAAATTAAAATAAAACTAAATTTGCTATTTTCAATAAGTATGTGTTATTTCGAGAAAAAATATTTTCAATGAAATTGAATTTATTTTTGTAACACAACGTCTATCTATAAATTATAACCACTACTTTTGTCATATTTAGTCCCTAGTGGAGGGGTAGCCATACAAATAACGAGCGGATGTAGGGAGCCAAAACGGTACAAAACGTATGGGCGGAGACGATATAACTCTAATGATATTATTACTAGTGCATAACTAATAGGGAAATAAGCCAGACATATGTAATACAACTATTTGGTTCATCCGTATTTATCGATAAATGAGGTAATATCCGTCTAACGCCAGTGGGCAATTTCGTGTTGACATATTAGGTATATTACAAAAATATTATGAGTGGAAAAACGCACGAGGTATTGATTATTTTATGAGGTAGGTTATATGCAGGTGCATATATGGCATATGTACCTATATATGACCTACCTATTACAATAATTAATACATACATACATACAAACAATCACAGTTTTTCCACTCATAGTATTTTTCAGTAAATAATAGAGGCGAAGAATTTTTTTTAGCCTATAATAAAATAAGAAAGAAGGAAATAGTTCATTAGTTAGGTTAGCTTGCTTTATACATATGTATTATATGAAATGGTGCGTTTTGAGTTGTGCTTTAATAATTCTACATAGTTACAAATATTAGTAAACAAGTGAATTAAAAGCTCCAAACTTTACTATAGGTAGATAAGTACCTATTGGTAAACGAAAACTTTACCGGACAACTAATAAAAAAGTCGCCCACATAAAGTTGATTTGGGTCGATGTAGAGCGTAACACGGTAAATATTTTAAGAGGCGAGCAGCTGTTTTCTCCTACAATTTCAAATAAATAAGACGTACAGAAACAAAATAGCCACTACTTTATGGAGGTATATGAATGTTTAATCCAAAAAGAAGAAATAGTGACACCTAAATAATGATGTTATCAATTTCCTTTTAAATGTGTATGTTTAATAGTTTTTTTTTATTTTGGTTCTAATTGCGTACTAAAGGATCATTTGTCCATTCAAAAAATTAAAAAAAATATTTATAATTATAAAAAAAGTAGGTACTTTTAAAAAAAAATTGCTATAAAATTAATTATTATGTACCATTGACATTTTATTGTATGAAAATACTCTTACATACAATTAGATCATTTCTAGCTAATCACAGTTTGTATGTCTATTATAATCTGAATATATCTATATATATATTCTGCCTTGACTTAAAATACGCTCTATATCAAACAAAACAACTTATAAAGTTCTAGGAAACCATCTTTGAAAATTTTAGGTGCCTCGAGACATAATATAATAGCGTAGAGACAAGCAGATAAAGATTTAATAAGAGGATCTTACCCTCCTCCTGGATTATTCACCTTTAATAAAGATAAATATAAAATATTATTGCACATCGGGCAGCGTTCGGGAAGCTACGCAACATCTTCTCGTCTCAAATACCGCGGTGTTTTAAGACAAAAGTCTTTGACTAGTGCGTGTTGCCAGTAATGTAAACATACATGGCCGCTCACGATGAGCCTCATAAGAAAGCTCGATGTCGCACAGAGAGCAATGGAGAGGGCTATGCTCGGGATTTCCTTGCGAGATCGAATCTGGAATGAGGAGATACGCAGAAGAACCAACGTTAGCGACTTAGCCCGCAGAATAACCAAGTTCAAGTGGCAGTAGGCAGGGCACATTGCTTGTAGAACAGGTAGTCGTTGGGGATGAAAAGTTCTTGAGTGGCGGCCAGGTATCGGAAGGCGAAGCGTAGACAGGCCTTGTGGGAAGGCGGACCGATGACTTGGTTAATGTCGCTGGAGCCCACTGGATGCGGATAGCACAAGACCAGTTGTCGTGTAAGTCTTTGGGGGAGGTCTATGTCCAGCAGTGGACGTGTTTGGGTTGAGACGACAAGGATTATTGTACATTTGCATTTTTTACTAACTAAAACTAAAGGGTATGTTCTTTATTTTATCATGTTCTGAGATTTACCTACTTTAGCAGCAAAACAATTTAAAGAAGATAGACGAAAACAAAAGGTTTTTTTGAGCATATTATAGAATACAGTGTTCATTTACAAATCTTGGAAATGATGTCTCCTGACTGATTCTGATTCTGATCCTGATTCCGGCCACGGCGGCCAATCTCATTGAGACTAGCCAACTGCGCAGGAGATATTATAGTCTACAAGTGTACGCGCAGACACAAGTGCACTCTCTATTCCTGTCACTCTCATACTCCAGTGGGACGATTGCTCGACACGACCAGTGATAGTTAAGGCGCAGGACCGACGGCTTTACGTGCTCTCCGAGGCACGGGGGTGAAACACCGCCAACTTCCCAACTCCGGGCTGTTACTGAGGCTTACCATACAGATAGACTCAATAACTAAACTTGGCCCGACCCGGGACTCGAACCCAGGACCTCCGGGTGTGCAGGCGTACATGGTGGCCACTACACCACCGAGGCAGTTGTAATCTTGGAAATAACGTTCACTTGATTGGTATGAAACCACAGCAATGGCCCGACATTATTGATTTAATCAAAAATCGTGTCATTATTTATCCTCCTTAATATCAAAATTTATTTTGAATGTTGGGATTGTGGTTTTTCTAATAAGAAAGACAAAGATTATATTGGTTGTAGACATTATATACGTTGTAAGACGTAATAGAAGCCGCTGACTTCGTATCTGAATTACAAATTGGTTCTAATGTTAGAATGTCAAAATTAATGGGTAACCTTTAATCAATCTCTTTATTGTTCGATTTTCCATTACTCTATCCAATCCGTTACTTATGGATTGTATAAGATTTTTTTTTTATTTCTCTTAAATATCTTCATAAATTATTTATTTATTTTGATAGTTAAATATAATTTGATAATACCTATAAAGATTTTTAGTCGTAAAATTATTAGGTTAATCGACATTTTTAGTTAAGTACCTACTTACCTATTTGGCGATTTTTTTGAACGTGGAAGTTCAAATGATTGATCTTTTCTCTATAAATAACAAAAGCTTTAATCTAGTGGTTCTAACTAGAACCACAAAAATGTATTAGCAAAATTAGCAGGCACAAGTATGGTAACTACCATACTTGTGCCTGCTAATTTTGCTAATACATTTTTTTTTTTTTTTAATTTGACTCCTTATATTGTACAATAAATGATTTAAATAATGTCAGTTATTATAAAATTTTCACCTTTTCCCAGTCTTAAAATAATAAATTTTTGCTATGCACTTACAAATACCAGTCTGGTACATTTTACAGAGTAGAACATCAGGAAAGAATTACAAGTATTGCTAAATTCATTCGATATCAATTTACTTAGACGGAAAAAGAAATATAATGAAAATATGACTCAATATAGTTTATTTAATTTCTCTTCTTCTCTAATATTTTCTCAAAAAAATCTGCCTTTCATAAAAAAAATGGTAAAAGTGGGACAATGAGGATGTTTTAGCCCTTAAATATTTTCGATTTGAGGCGTGTATATGTAGTATGTACACTGTACATATTATGATGTGTGCTACAGAATTGCTATTGCATTCGGCGTGGTATTTAGATATGATCATCTAATCAACCGGTACGGCGTGGATAAGAAATTCGTCACGATGGATCACCGGTCACTTGCTGGAGGTCAAGGACACCGCTGCCATCATATGGGCCGTAAATTACGTCGTTTGATTGGTTCCAATCAAGTTCGGTCTCGATTAAAAAATGTATCTGGCCGAATGTGGTTTTACTGATTGCCGCTCAAATTTTGTATAAACTCGTCTGAGATTCTTTGTGTTAGTTATAAATTTTATTTTTTATTATTAGCCGAAAAATTCAAAATATTATTATTCAAATAGATTCCTACTATCATTTGTATACTACTAGTTTACACATTTATATTAAATATATGGATATTGGATAGCTAGATTTATATGTAGGTTTACCTATTTTTTTCGGATATTGGTGTACTTACATGTTTGTATTATACATATATCTAGCTGTATATCATTGTGTTATTTTCATCATAATTATAATGTTACTATAACAAACTATAATAGATTTTTTTGAGATTTTTTTACCTCTATCCTTTGCTAGGTAAAAAGTTAGAAATTATTGTGTACCTATTTCAAGTATCATATTCTTTAATCATTTTAATACTTTCATTCAGTCACTAATAATATTCCTAGCCTATATTCTACTCTGCAGTAACAAAAGATTTAACATACCTGGTTTAAATATATTGTTTATAGGTATATGTATATTTCTTAAATTCGCGGTAGAAAAAATAAACATACACCACTACAGTCTTATATTTGTATAAAAATAATTAAGATGCCACCATCATGTAATTGCCGACAGCATCTTAATTTAAACTCTTGCAAACAAACATAAATACGCAATACGCATAAAATAAATTAATTTTAATAAATTAAAATTAATTAAAACCAATAATTGGAAATTTAATAAATCATTATTTTTAAATTAATATCTACATTTTAAACACTAAGTTTTACTAAATGTTAGTCCGTGTTAAATATTTAAACGTATAGGTATATAATTGGCTCATTTCACGCTAAGTTTGCGAAAATGATTGGGTGTTCGAAGAAATGTTATAAAAATGTCTATTACTTGTTTTAATATCCATATAATCAAATGCGGCAACAAATTAAAAATTAATAACACTAACTCGGTATGTTAAAGTTATTAACCAATAAGTAACACTCGAACTTAGCTTTTGTTATATTATTTTAATTAAAGCCCACTAACCGCTTTAAGCACATGGAAGCTATTGTTCTTCAAAAGCTTGATTATTATGTACAATGCAATATTTGCATATTTATCAAAAAAGTTTTACAATTAAACTTTTACTTCCTATCTGGCGTAGTTTCTTTCATTCCAAATACGATGATGTTTCATGAGATGTTGAGTGTAGCTACACAAGTATTAGCTTAGTAATAATCATCTGAATCCAGAAGTAGCAGGTATTTGGGAAGAAGGTATAATATTGCCCTCCCGACCGATTTCGGCCACGGCGGCCAATCTCACTAACCAGATGCGCAGAAGATATTAAAGTGCACAAGTGTACGCGCAGACACAAGTGCTCTCTGCTCTCTATTCTTTTTACTCTTGAATTCCGATGGGACGATACTCCGACATGACCGGTGAGAGTTAATGCGTAGGACCCGACGACTTTACGTGCTCTCGGAAGCCCAGGGGTGAAACAACTTTCAACTCCGGGCTGTTGTTGAGAATATCTTAAGAGAAATACTCAGTAAATAAACTTGGCCCGACCTGGGACTGGAACCCAGGAGGGCCTATCTGAAGCCGTACATGCTAGCTGCTAGCCCACGGAGATAGCTATAGGTATAGGATATACCTATCTACCGTTTAGGTTCCTCGACTCTGCGGACATTGTTTTTTTTATTTACAAGTTAATAAAATACAAGATATAGAAATAAAATGTTTTCACCTAATAAAACTTGCAGGTAATATTGCGTGTCGGTAATGCCTTTTCAATATATTTAATTCACATTGTTTTAGAAATACCAAACAGAAGGACAGACTTACATTATCATTTAATTTGCACGTGGCTATTCAATAAGCTGAGTTATATTACAGGCTTCGAAATATATTATTTGCCAAATTAGGCTTTCCACTTTTATCAAGTTCGTTTACAGAATGCTTATTTGCCAGCATAAAATAGTTATTACAAGCAGCTGTATACAATTAAAACCGCAATTATCGAGTACTTTCAGTGTTGAAGGTTAGCATCGAATCTAGCGACGCGACTTTGCACATGCCCTACAATCAACAGTAACAATAGACCACAACGGAAGCATTTGAAGTGCTAATTCGAAAAATACAAACCACATTGTAATCAGCAGAAAGACGCTCCTCCAGCGAGCGATGAAATGACTCCAAACCTGTAATTAGTGGCTAAGGCAAAATGGCTGCTTGTATCACCAAAGCACTTTAAGCTCATCGAATCCTAATTTTAAACTGTATTACGGAGACATAAAAGGTTAATTTGTTAAGTGAAGGGGTCTTTCACAGTGGCCGTCTACCCACCCCCGTGTTACGACGTGCGTGTGTGTTAATTTAATTTTCTACTCGCAGTAATTGCTGGGCCAGGACAGGACGGTACACGACATTGTAACGAGTAGTACAATAAAAACACATATTTGCATGAGCTATTCGCGCCGTATATCGTTGTCTATGTAGTATTTTAATAGTGCAACCAGTTCTTTCTCAGTAATTTTAAGCGATATTAAGGTAAAATATCTGTTTAAATATTGTCTCTTTTTAAAACGAAAGATTTGTAAAATTACCTTCCATATATTATAGCAAATAAACATCAATTCATTTAGGTACACATATTAAGGTTGACTTTTTAACATTTTTATTAGAAGTTACGGCTAAGGATTGAAACAACCTGCCTGCGTCAGTGTTTCCGTCCGATTACAAAATAGGTGTCTTCAAGGCAAGAGTGAATAGGTGGCTACTGAATTAGTGCGACTTACCATCTACGACTGTGTTACCACTTACCATCAGATAGAACGTAGTCAAGCACTAATTCAGAATAGTATAAAAAAAAAGTTAGAAATGTATATAACATTTTATTCCTTTGAAAAATAAAAATATCATAACAAGTACCTAAAAAATGTAATTAATAAACAGTAAACGCGATATAATATGTACAACATGAAGCATAGTCGTATTCTATCTGTGTGGCAAAGCGAAAATAAAAATTGGGTGCGTAGAGCGGCACCCCGCCGGGCAGCCTGCTTTGAGGCGGCCGCATTTGTCATGTTAACACTAAACGTGTGAAGAGATGTTATTAATGACGGAAAGATTATGTCGGCTTATACAATTGTTGCTATTGTCGGCGCATTGTCTGCAAAACGCCGGACCGGCTCGCTGATTCCATTTATTTGCTTTTAAACCAATACTACGAGTATTTTCAAGCCATCGACTCGCTTTGAAAGTCTAACATGATTTATGAATAAAAAAAGGTAAACAACACTATTGTATTGTGTTATATGTGTAATTTACGTAGGTGCAATGTTCGAAGGACGGATATATTGACGGGATATTTCAAAACCATTATTTGATCTACCTCTGTTTTAGAAAAACATATTATCTATACTAATATTATAAAGAGGTAAAGTTTGTGAGATTGTGCGTTTGTGAGCGTGTGGATTTACTGAACCGATTTAGATGAAATTTGGTAAAAAGATAGTTGGAAACCCTGGGAAAGACATAGAATACTTTTTATTCCGGAAATCATCTCTTAAGGGGGTGAAAATGGGGATGAAAGTTTGTATGGGGAATCAAGCTAGGTACGAACCCGAAAGAAGTGGGGGTTAGTCGCTAGTAGAATATAAATAACTATTATTTTTATGTGTAGCCAGCTTATATCTACAATCCTAAACTAATTATATTATTTATGTATATAAGAACAAGTACTTAAGTTTGCTACCATAGACAGGTAGATAATAAAAAAGCCTTCAAAAAATCTTTAGTCTATTGATTATTATTAGTTTTTGCCAGCCTCTTATGTAAGTCAACAAAATAGCGTACATTTTTTCAAATTGTAATTTCCATTCAAAGATTCACTTAAAACCATTGAGCAGTTACTGTGAGTGTGAATAAATAACATTCACAGTCACTCACTCTTTTCGCACTACACAACTTTCACGTTTATGATAATTAGTGTGATGTGGATGAATATTATGTTGAAATCCTTATTTACATAAACATATCTATTTTAAATATGAAACTCATATCATTCATCAAAGTATAAGAACGAAATTTAGGTTGAATACACACTTGTCTAATTAGCTATCTAAGTAAAATTGATATCGCATAAGTTTAAAAAAAATATTTAACTATTTTCCAATATCTACACTTAAGGCAGAGGCTTAGTCTATAATTAAAAAAAAATAGGTATTAAATAATAAAATGCTTAAGTTATTATGATGGCATAAACGTGTAATTACTATATTAAGTAACTACTGTATTCTCATTATAAGGAAGTTTGAACGGTAGAAAGTTATTTCGTGTATATTTATATGAATGTTTTTTTGACTAATAAACCGTTCGGTTTACGAGGCTTTCATGAAGCAATTACCGTCAGGGGTCTATCCGAGAGGTGTAATGCTATAAACCCATAAACTGACCGAGTCCCAGGTGTGCTTTTGCTGGTACCTATATCATACGATGGGTTTCTGAAGAATAATATACATTGCCGACTAGAATAGACGTAATTTATAGAACACTCACTTAAAGCAGTAATGGTTTATCCTTATTTAAAAACAAATATGAGCAACGTACAAATATGAGCAACGTACAAATATCTGATTTGTTTCTTATACAGAAGTTATGTGGTATCGTTTACAAATTTATTATGTCGAATTCTGAGAACATTGTCTTCACTCATTGAGGTTTGTCGTAAAAGCTACCAATTATGCAATAAAATACTTTTTTCTACCTTAAATAGCTTAAAAAACTCGTTTGGTTCGTTTCGAGTGGTTTTAAAATTGTTACCGTAATGATGAGCAAAGCATTATCCTAATTTGAACTTAACAATTTTTCCATATATTACGGTAATGAATTCTTATTTTACTTATAGGGTTTTTCTCGTCAAAGAATTATTAGCCTCGTTAAAGAATAGGTAAATAAATAGCTAATATTATTTGTTTAGTTAATATAGGCTTAATGCCTGCCCGAAGTTTCGATGATGTCAGAC